TGGGTAGGACCTCTCTCATTGCTTGCTTGGATAAAATCTTAAGAAAAAATATCTTAAACTAAAATTGCCTTAAAAAAAACCCATTACGTGTAGCAGATAAATAGTTCCCAGAAAACTAAAAATAGGCTAAAAGTTATACCCCGTTTGACGTTACGTGGAATTTCAGTTTCGTCGTTTTTACCAAGCCGGGCGCGTAGTTTCCTGCGCGTTTATTTGTAAATACGTATTCGATAACCCGAATACTGCTCAACGGATTTCAATGTACAAGGTCAAATACCTTTACATAGACCAACGTTCAAATATCTTGATAAAGACCACGTGTTGTGTCATGTTTAAGAAGCTAGACACACATAACATTGTTTTATTTTGTTGACTGTTAATTTAATGAATGCAGAGAGTGTACATGTTTTCATGAAGAATTAGCGAGGCAGCTTTTGCCACTCCAAATGTAGGTCCTAATCTATTTGACACAATTGTAAAGTGTCTGTGTTAAAAATAAGCGCCCCTCCCCCTCCAACCTGACTTCAATTTATCATAGTGCATTTTTTTACTTTCTCGTATATACGAAGTATAGAGAAAGTCTTGTAATCGTGCAAAAAAAAAAATCGAGATTTTTACAAATCTCGACGTTTTACATCTCACTGATACGGAAAAACATAATTTTGCAATCTTGTCCGTATGTCTGTGTGTCTGTGTGTGTGTGTGTGTGTCCGTGTGTAAACACGATAACTTGAGTACCGTTACAGCTAGGTTGATGAAATTTCATATATAAGTATTTTATCAAAATCGTAGATCCGTATCAACTTTTGAGCGATTTCCGATAACCGGAAGTGGTACTTTTTCTACTTTGAATTTTTCAGAAGCCTATAACTTGAGTACTATTTCAGATAGATAAATGAAATTTGATGTGTAAGTAAACGATCTAATTCTCTACCTTCTATCAAATTTTGAGTAATTTCCGTTGACCGGAAGTACTTATTTACGCTATTTCCGATTTCTCAAAAAACGCATGTAAATTTATAAAGTACTAATAATATTGCGCACTATTATGCACATCTTTATTTAGGGTTCACTTGGTGTGCATTTCTTTTTGTTACGAGATTATATTCTATTTCTAAAAATTTGAGTAATTAAAATGGATTAAAAATCATGTCTAGAAGTCTATATCCCGAGTTGCCACCCCCGTAGTGTTATATTAGAATATTCGAGAAAGTTTAGGGGAGATCACTCCCGGTTTATTTATCCATCATAGGCTGAGATCCCCTCGGTACTACAGGGGGGGGGGGTCACTTTAAAAATTACGATGTAAATAACAATAAAAATGATACATCCGAATTTTTAGTTAGCCATAAAACCTCAAAAATGCATCATTGGTATTTGCTTTAATAGAAATAGTGGTTATAGTATAAGTAACTTCTTTAAACATGGGCATAATTTCACACTGATTGTCTCTAAAAATGTATGATTATTCATTTCACTAAAAAAAATCAGATTCTATTAACACAAATAAAACCACAGAGTGTGTAATAATGATCTTCATAATTGATTCTCTGTTATTTTAGTTTGGAGAATAATCTCTAACAAGTTACTAGGGTTAGCAATAGTCAATAAAAATGTATATACACTAAAGAAATATTAGGCAAGGAAGTTGTACTAATGCAATACAGAAGAGAGTTTTTCATGCTTTTCCAAAACTGGGAATTCCCAGGGCTCATGTGATAAATCATCACTTAGAATACCGTTGAGTGTGGCCGTCACCGTCTAGATATTTCGGCATCTATACTCTGCTAACCATAATGAGTCTGCTGATTTCTAGTTCCAGATATCGTGTTTATAATAACATTGTAAGTAATACTCTCTCCGTACCCTTCAGCTGCAGCATTGCTTACTCCATCAATTTCGTAGGCATCATTGTCACGATACCCTCAAGAATAGGCTGAACTACACTCTTTTGTCTATGATCTGTTCGCATTGTTGTCAGTCTGTTCGTCTAGAATTTTCTGAATATTTGGTCCTGGATCAGCACATCTAATATTTGTCAGGATTTTCCCGGTTCTTAGTAAAGTGGCTTGCCAAAGTTGATCATCCACTACATTGTACATTGGCCATACTCATCAGCCAGTGTGCGAAATGACCGTCCAATTCGGGAACTGGCCGAATTTTTGCCGAAACAAATATCATAGGCATACTGTTCAACTACTTAGTCCGATTCAGACTATGCTATTAATATTTACACATAGATTCGAGGTAGGCTTGGCAATCAGTTTATTATGTCTAAATTGCAAGCAGAATTTTCTACATTTTTTCTAAGTGTTTCGTCGATCTCAACCCGTTATAGCGAGCAAGACTATTGCTTGTAATTCAAAAAGCGAAAGTGGCTTTTCCAATTACAAATTCAGCCTGGGGTAATCGATATAAGGGCAAATTACGTGTTTTTGTGCGTGTAAACATCCACGTGATCGCTTCCAGGAAACGGAATCGAAACGTTAAATTTTACGCAATGGGAACATAACGTGAGTAGGCGTATATGGTAAAAGAGAAAAGTACGCACATGTAGCTGTAAGGATTAGTAAACCAATAAAGAAGGTCCACTCTAATTCAAAGGTTCTCATATTTGTTCGATTTATGACTACTATTTATAAAAGCTAAGTGAATCTCTACACACATAACATACCAATAAAGCAGAATATCTTTGTTTTGGTTAGTCTACAAGTTGTCGATCCCCATTAAACCCGTGTTCTAACTTGTGTCACCCGGTGTGGACCGCACCCCCTCCCCCTGTCTTGTCGTGACGCCACTGATTATCAGTGGCGTAGCGAGGTCGGGTGTCACCCGGTGCGGCACTTAATGGTGTCACCCCCCCCCCCCCCAGAGGCATAGAGACCCTTCCCAGGGACAAACTTTCAAATTTTCGATTTGCAGCCCCCTCAAACTTTCGATTTGCACCCCCCCCCCCTCAAGTTTTCGATTTGCACCCCCCCCCTCAAACTTTCGATTTGCACCCCCCCCCCCCCCTCGAGTTTTTCTCTATATATTTTGCTATTTTTTGCCTTGGTGTCACCCCCCGAAATGGTGTCACCCGGTGCGGTCCGCACCTCCCGCCCCCCCCCCTCGCTACGCCCCTGCTGATTATCCATGGCGGCCCACGGGATTTTTTTATTCTGGCGGCCCACCGGGATTTTTTAATTCTGGCGGCCCACTAGGATTTTTATTCTGGCGGCCCACTAGGATTTTTATTCTGGCGGCCCACTAGGATTTTTATTCTGGCTGCCCACCAGGATTTTTATTCTGGCGGCCCACCGGGATTTTTTATTCTGGCGGCCCACTCGGCTTTTTATTCTGGCGGCCCACCAAGATTTTTATTCTGGCGGCCCACCAGGATTTTTATTCTGGCGGCCCACGAGGATTTTTATTCTGGCGGCCCACTAGGATTTTTATTCTGGCGGCCCACCGGGATTTTTACTCTGGCGGCCCACTAGGATTTTCCACCTGAGACCACTTATGAATAAAAAAAAATCTTTTACAGAATAAAATAAAAATTTCAATATCTCTATTCCCTTTGTCCCGAATGATAGAATATAGCAAAATGATAAACCAACCCCACGCCATATAGTATGCGGTCCAACAAATCAATAGCACGTTCCATGTACCGCTACTACGATACTTCAATGTTTCTAAATATAGAACTGAATTCTTGGAATCTTTCTTTCAGATTCTGCTAGAGTGGTGACAAGATAGCATTAAAAAAAAAAACCTTGAACATCTCAGCAAATTGTTGATAACATGATCGGATCTCAAACTGTGGACCCTCGACTCCTTTTGGTATTATCACAAATGTTCTTTTTTGGTAAGGGGTCATCCTTAAATGATGTAATACTTCTAGGACGTAGAAGGGAGGATAAATGTTTGCAGTGGCGTCGCTAGGTCTGGTGTCACCCGGTGCGACACTTCGTGGTGGTACCCCCCCCCCCCCCCCCCCCGCTCTTTTATTTAATGCTATTTTTGGAGGGTGGTAGGAGGCTGAAGTGTGACATAATTTTGATGGGGTCTGATGTTTTGAGGCGTCACGTTATTTATGGACTATCCTTAAAATACAAAACTAAATGTTTAAACAAGTGTCCAGGTTTAATAATTTTAATTATCAATAATGATAAATAATTTAAAATGGCATGATATGTAAAACTAAATTTTTCAAACATATACACAGTTTTCAATAGTTGTTAATTAATTAAACAATGGTTAAAATGAAATCACCAATTAATTGAATGTTAAATCATACAGAGAATTATATAGGCCCATTCTTGCTTTGTCACTGAAAAATCGTTACATTAAAAATAATAAAAATGGCTCAAAACTGAGTTTCAACATTTCATTAACGTTCACCCATTTACAAACGTCGCCCCCCCCCCCCGAAAAAAGACCCCCCCCCCCTCCCAACGACATGAAATTTATATAGAAAACATTTACTTTTATCATTGTCCGCCCCCCCCCCCCCCTCCCGGAAAAATAATTCTGGAATTCATCAACACGGAAAACAGTATTTTGTTCCTTAACAAAACATATTAAAATTATTATAATGGCGACACTGAGCTACATTTCGAGGACCACTCCATAAAGTTCCACGTCAGGCGACACGCTGATGCTATATAAAGAAATGATTTTCTTCACTTCTCTTGTAGAACCGCCAGTTACGTGGAGACTTCCAGACTTTTTACAGACTTAAGTAAGGTAATGTAGACATTGTCCAGATTTTTTAGAGACTTAAGTCATGTAATGTAGACATTGTCCAGATTTTTTAGAGACTTAAGTCATGTAATGTAGACATTGTCCAGATTTTTTAGAGACTTAAGTCATGTAATGTAGACATTGTCCAGATTTTTTAGAGACTTAAGTCATGTAATGTAGACATTGTCCAGATTTTTTAGAGACTTAAGTCATGTAATGTAGACATTGTCCAGATTTTTTACAGACTTAAGTAAGGTAATGTTGACTTTGTCCAGATTTTTTAGATACTTAAGTCAGGCAAAGTAGAGACTTTCAGACTTTTTACAGACTTAAGTAAGGTAATGTAGACTTTGTCCAGATTTTTTAGAGACTTAAGTCAGACAAAGTAGAGACTTCCAGACATTTTACAGATTTAAGTTAGGTTATGTAGACACCGTCGTTTTTTTTAACAGTCTAGTCATATAAAGAAGAGACTGCCGAGATGTTTTAGGATGAAAGGCAAAATTTTCCAATCTGTTTTAATCGTCTTAAAAGATGAAAAGACGTCACTGTTATAATATAAATCATGTTGTTTCTAGAAAAATCCAACATGTCCGGCAAAGGCAAGGCTGATAATGACAACAAGTCTGCTCAGTGCAATCCTAATAATGAAGAATATAAAGGTCACCAACCTGGATATACGGTAAGTAATAATAATAAGGTTCAGTGGCGTAGGCATGATTTAGTTACGTTTTCCCCACATGATTGTACACTCAAGCATGTCGACACTATTATGTGTTATAGTGTGTGTACAATGAAACATTTCCACACTATTATGTATGTTAAAGTATGTGCAACCAAGCATGTCCACTTTACTCAACCAGGGAACCGGCGATAAGGCCGACCTCGACAACCACAGCAACCAAAAAAACCCAAACAATGAGAGATATCAGGGAGAAAAAAAATGAGGTCAGCTTTTACATTGTTTTATAGTGAATATGGTGAATTTAGCTTGCATAAGAATTGTTTGTTCTGGCAACAGCTCTAACCTAAAACTAAAACTATGAGTAAAATTATAGCCTAGTTATTGGTAGATTCCTTCTTGGCTGCTTTTTGTAAATAAAAATGTTTGGGCACTTAAATAACAGATGTTGATTTTTTAAAAATAATAATTAAATTTTATCCCCAGGATGTCTTTATCAAAGCTGAGGACACATTACACCATTTCCAGCTTCATTTTTAACATTTTTTATTTTTCATTTTGAGAATGATCAAATTTAGACACACAAAAAAAAAGATCAAGTTTACTACATAATAAGATCATTTTAGGACATAACAACTGTGATGTAAACAAAACATTTTTTTTTTAAATTTGATACAAAAAATCAGTCCTGTTCTGCAGGTCAATAAAGTGTGTTCACTTTCCAAAGTTTGGCTTCAATTTTTATGCATGTCTTAATGTTGTAAACTACGAACTGTGTTATGTAAATACCAAATATTCAGTGAATCCCCACAAACCAGTAGATTACCTAGGGGAGAGCGTGTAGGGAGTCCGCTCTGAGCACCGACCCTAAGAGGGTGCCAAAAGGGGTTGAAAAAAAAAATGAAAAGGCTCATTTTAAGCTGAAGTATTGAATTATGCACAGTCAAAGTGTGGCACCAAAAGCAAAAAGTTTTGACTTGTATAAAGCTCCATCAACCGTTTCACTTGGGGGGTGGGGGGCACTTTTTTTTTGCTAATATGAATACATACAGGCCTAATATAAAGTGGGGGGGGGGGCACAATTGATAGCTCGCACAGGGCGCCGGAAAAGGTCGCTACGCCTCTGCCAAAAGCATACCTGTCTACTACCTTGACTTCTAGTTTATCACTAGACAAGAACCTTAAGCTTCGATCGGATATTTCTTTTCTAGCAGGAAGTAAATAAACCGGGAGTGATCTTCCCTAGACTTTCTCGAATATTCTTATATAAAACAACAGGGGATGGCAACTCGGGATATAGACATGATTTTTAATCCATTTCAAATACTTAATTTTAAAATAGAATGAATAAAACAATCTCCTAGAAAAAAAAATTGCACACCAAGTGAACGCAAAATAAAATGTTCATAATAGTGCGGAATATTATTAGAACTTTATAAATTTACATTCGTTTTTTGAGAAATCGGAAATAGTAAAAATTACTACTTCCGGTCAACGTAAAGTACTCAAAATTTGAAAGAAGGCAGATAATTACGTCTTTTACTTACGTTTGAAATTTCATTTATCTGTCTGAAATAGTACTAAAGTTATAGGCTTTTGAAAAATTCAAAGTAGAAAAAGTACCGCTTTCGGTTATCGGAAATCGCTCAAAAGTTGTACGAATCTACGATTTTGATAAAATACTTTTATATACAATTTCATCAACCTAGCTGTAACGGTACTCAAGTTATCGTGTTTACAGACACACACACACCCACACACAGACATACGGACAAGATTGCAAAACTATGTTTTTTTCCGACTCAGGGAGGTGTAAAACATCGAGATTTGCAAAAATCTAGTTTTTTTTTGTTGTGCACGATTACAAGACTTCCTCTATACTTTGTATGTACGAGAAAGTAAAAAGGTCAGATTTGGTAATGAAGTACACGGCCTCTGCAAGAGCATGGCTTGGAGCCACCTTTCCAGGTGCCACAATCACTTCTCGTGGACATGGGCATCATGGGCAGTAGAAGCAAAGATGGTGAGGCCTAACTGGGGCTGCTGTGTCACGGGCTCTTTGAGAGCCGAGATTTGTTATGATACGTTCTGCAAGTAATGTTCCCTCCGTATCCTATACCTGCATTTGTCCCATTCGGGCATTTGTCCCATTCGGGCATTTGTCCCATTCGGGCAAGTTTCATTTGGGCATTTGTCCCATTCGGGCATTTGTCCCATTCGGGCAAGCATCCATTCTCATCAGCACTGTCCTTCTGAATAAATAAGTCATCATGAAGAACTCTGTGTCATAAGGTACACACTAGAACGGCAGGTCTGTGTTGATATTTTAAGGTTAGGCCCTATCTTGGATGCTAGACTACTTCAGATGGCGTTAGCAGCTCTTCAGCGCCGTGAACAGCGTGATCAACACTCATAATAAACCAGGTGCTGGCTGCTTTGTCTTATTGTGATGATTAGCTGGAAATTTGAGTTATCTCCCTTTTAATAACCATCGTTGTGTAAAACGTTTCCAAGCACGATACTAGCGTTGAATACAGTAGATAAACATATTTGTATTGAGTTGCGTATACGATTTAGACTAGGGGAGATAAGTATGTAGTGCACGGGGTCGAGGGAGGGAGGGGGGGGGGGGGGGTTACATAGGTCAAGGAAACTTCAACTTGTTTAGCTTGAAACAAGTAAATGAAAGAGTTAAGACTAGGGTTGGAGGTTTACCGATTTAACTGTAGGCCACATATTGCATAAGCTGTTTTGACATTGTAATTTCATAATTATTACTTTTTAAATAACTAATTATCGATTGAATAAGGTCATATGTAGACGTCGCAAGGGGGAGTGGGAGGCGGACCGCACCGGGTGACATCATTTTACACAAACATTGTTACAATTATTTGTGCACAGTTTACTAGCTTTTATCCGGGAAAGGTGGAAGGATGTTTTGTTGAATTTCTCAACTACTCATACGTCAACCAACGACCACATGTAATTGTTTACTATGAAAACAATGCTTTTTCAACTTGAAATGATAGCTGGATTAATATAACGTGCGCACGGATCGACACCATTAGTCCAAAGGGGAGGAGGGGGTGACACCAATCGCAATATTCACAGACTGATCACAACGAAATACATCGACCACCAAAGTGGAATGGTGTGACACTACATTGACAATTGAAAATTCAGAAAATCAACACATCATTTAATACTTGGTCGTGACTGCTAAATTCTTTACCAACAACCTCCGAGTGTTAAAGTGTGTGTGTGTGTATGTGTGTGTATGTGTGTGTGGAGGTGGGGGCGGGGGAGTGGGGGACGACATCCGTAAAGCCATTGTAAATTTGATTGAGCAATACTATTACATTAGATTGGTAATACAGGATTTGTGATACGATTAATAGGCTATTTTTCTATTCACATTAAATAATTTAAAATCAATTATGTCTGACAGTATATTTAGACAGTACGCGAATCAGCGGCAAATGGTCATGTGTGGTCTGCCCATGTCGACCTATTTGATTTCTCCAACACCAATCATAATTTCCTTTCTTAACGCTACTACCTTATCCTGAATTCAGAGACAATAGGCTCTACCCTCTTGTTTTCAAACTGCTTGAACTACAAAGAGGCGTTGATTGGAAATTTCAGTTTATATATATATATATATATATATATATATATATATATATATATATATATATATATATATATATATATATATGGGCATATATGATTAAAAAGCTGGCGCCTTTTTTAGATCTCCTACCTCAAAAGCCTCCCACCCCCTCCCCCCTTTTACTCTGTACAAAAACCTTGAACTACGGTAGGCAAAGTAGAACACAAACTACTATTGCGTGTTGCAGATAATTTTTTATCAAGAAACCAATCATAGGCCAGAAATGTGTACCCCGTTGGTCGTTACCTGGAATTTCGGTTTCGGTGTTTGTATTAATAAGTCTGACGCGTAGTTTCTTGCGCGATATGTTGTAAGCTCTCATCGATTACCTGATGGCTGCTTAAAGGAAATTAGTGTACATGTTCAAATAACTAGTCAAAACATAGACCATATCTAAAAAAACACCTAAAAGTTTATGACCAACACTTAAATATATAATTATAGACCCTTTTTTTTAATTTTTAGTATTCAAATATATAGACCAACGCTCAGTTATATAGAGATAGTCCAACATTTAAATATCTAAACATGTAGCCTACCAACATTAAAGTATATGTAGACATAGAGAAACGTTCGAATATTTATAGACACAGACAAACGCTTAAATGTGTTTACTAAATCAAACGTTTGAATACCTAGAAAACAACAAACGCTCAAATATAAAGACAAAAACAAACGCCCATATATATATATATATATATATATATATATATATATATATATATATATATATATATATATATATATATATATATATATATATATATTACACAATCTTTCAGATCAATATCACATCGTACTGACCGTTACGGCGATGATTCCCGTATTTCTAAATATAGAATGGGATTCCTTGAATTTTATTTTCAGATTCTGCCGTTGGAGTGATGACAAGGTTGCATTCCAAAAGCAACCGAAAGCAAATTGTCGATAAGATGTTCGGTTCTCAAACTGTTTTTTTCTCCGCACTTTTTGGTATTGACAAAAACTATCAATTTTTGAAAGTGTTCATCCTGTAAGTGATGTTACACTCTGAGAGGGAATTGTTCGTCTTTTGTGATGAAGATGATGTTAGATTTTTGCATTTGAAAAATTAACTTTGAATTGTTGTGGTTTTCGCATTTTAAAAAGACTTTTTTTGCAAATTGTAATGAACATTGATCAATACACCTAATGTTAAACCAGATAAGTTTAAATTTTAGAAAAAAAAATCGCTGTTTTTAAAACTCATTTTAATTTGAGAAGGGGTGGCTAAAGTGTGTGTGTGTGTGTGTGTGTGTGTGTGTGTGTGTGTGTGTGTGTGTGTGTGTGTGTGTGTGTGTGCGTGTGTGTGTGAGAGGGGGTAGTGGGTCTCGACGAGTAGTGGCGTTGAGATTTGTTAATAAACAAAATAAGCTTAAAATAAAATGACAAATTAAATTAATAACTACATTAAAATTATATATTTTTGTATTATTGTTTTTAAAAAATTATTTCCGAAAAGCTCGAACGCAATCTCTGCATAAAAAAGTAGTCAAATCAAAACTGAATTACAACATTTTACCTACCAATTTACAAACAGACAAACAGACATGGAGACCCTAACAAAAAGCGTGAAAATTTTTGTATAAACACATGTCGCAATTTATTCATGTCATCAAAACGACAAAATGCTTTTTATTTCAATAACAAAACATATAATGATGGCTACACTCTGCTATATTTCGAGGACCACTCCAAAAAACTCAAACGTCACGCGACTGATTGATGCGTATAAAAACAGGTTTTTCTTTCACTTCTACTGTAGAACCGCCCTAAACGTACAGACAGTCCAGCTTACTTTACAGACTTTAGTCAGGTAAAGTAGAAACCGCTTAGAATTGTTAAAAGACTTTAGTCAGGTAAAGTAGAAACCGCTTAGATTTGTTAAAAGACTTTAGGCAGGTAAAGTAGAAACCGCTTAGAATTGTTAAAAGACTTTAGTCAGGTAAAGTAGAAACCGCTTAGATTTGTTAAAAGACTTTAGGCAGGTCAAGTAGAAACCGCTTAGAATTGTTAAAAGACTTTAGTCAGGTAAAGTAGAAACCGCTTAGAATTGTTAAAAGACTTTAGTCAGGTAAAGTAGAAACCGCTTAGATTTGTTAAAAGACTTTAGGCAGGTAAAGTAGAAACCGCTTAGAATTGTTAAAAGACTTTAGTCAGGTAAAGTAGAAACCGCTTAGATTTGTTAAAAGACTTTAGGCAGGTCAAGTAGAAACCGCTTAGATTTGTTAAAAGACTTTAGGCAGGTCAAGTAGAAACCGCTTAGAATTGTTAAAAGTTAAAAGTTAAAAATCATACAGCTTTTTCTTATATAATGTTTAGACATTAAGCGAATCAGTGGCCAATGGTAATGTGTTGGTCTATCCACGTCGACTTATTTGATTTCTCCAATACCAATCACAATCTATTTAGTCAGATAAAGATTGCAAAATCTCTAAAAGGCACGGGGGGGGGGGGGTGCACGGTTCGGTAAAATTTGCCTATCAGTTTTCAGTCGCGAAAACAAAGGCTAAAAAGTAGTCATTGTAATAAATAAATTATTTTTTTCCAGAACAATCCAACATGTCCGGCAAGGCTAATAATGACAACAAGTCTGCTCAGTGCAACCCTACGTCTGGCAAATACCAAGGTTACTCATCTTCATATGGGGTGAGTAATAATTTACCGTCAGTGGTGTAGACAGGATTTAATAGTGAAGGATTTAATTATTTTTTTTTATATGTGGGTAGGTTATAGTCTAGTAGCCTTTGCACCCTTGGTTATGTATGTGGTAGTGTTTACAATCAAGCATGTCCAAACTGATTTGTGTGTTATAGTGTGTGTTTGGGTTACAAAGAAGTATGTTCACACTGATCTGTGTGTTATAGTGTGTGTGTGGGTTGCAAAGAAGTATGTCCACACTAATATGTGTGGTATAGTATGTCCAATCATGAATGTCCACTTTACTCAACCAGGGAACCGGCACAAAGGCCGACCTTGGTAACCACAGCAACCAGCTCAACCCTAACAACACAAGATTTCAGGGAGGGAAAAAATGAGGTGAGCTTTTACATATCTGATAGTGAACACATTGTACTTAGCTTACATGTAAACATAGTTGCTTTCAGGTATCTTCCCCCTTCCCCCTTCCCGGGGCACGTCCACCGCACCCTTCACGAGATTTAAAAAAAAAATAATGTTTCTAGAAAATATATACTTTAACCAGTGCGTACCCCCCAACTCCGCATCCCAGGAAATATTATGTCCCCCTCCCCCCTACGGAAGAAGAATCAAGTACCCCTTCTCCTCTAGAGAAAAATGTCTGTAAAAACCTTTAATTTTATATTCTAGTACCAACTTTAATTTAAAAAATAAAATAAATGTATAGATTATATTTTGTGGCGATATATAATATAATAAGTGAACACTTAAAAGCCTTTAAATTTTATATTCTAGTACCAACTTTAATTGTTTTAAAATGTATAGATTATATTTAGTGGTAATATATTCTATGTAAAATAATAAGTGAACACTTAACAAAACTCAAGCTGATGTTTAAATTTTTTTTATCTCCAGGTTGTTCTCATCGAAGCTGCGGACGCATTTATTTCTTAACATGCAGGTCCGCAAAGCTCTTTAATAAATAATGATATTTTTTTTTTTAAATGTCATTAAAACTCTATCCTGTAAACTCAGTCAATAAAGTGTGTTGACCTTCTAAAGTTTGGCTTCAGATGTTTTTTTCATGCATGTTTATGTTGTGAACAAAAAATTCCCATTAGTTGGCTCGACTGTTTTAATTTAAAAGAACATTTAAAATAAAACAAATTTTTAATATAAAAAAACAACATTGTACAGGTCTAAAAATAAGCTTTTAAATGTACTGAAAATGAAAATAAAACACAATTGGTTTCTTTAATATAAGAACTGGTAGCTCACGAAATCTACATATTTTATTTTACATTTTCAGTGCATGCATTTAAATGCTTATTATTATTATTATTAAAAATTACGTGTTTTATTTTCTACTTTTTATCAGTTAGGATTTTAAAAAAAATAATCAACCAACTATGACCATCAGCTCACCGATTGGCTAGCAGAACTAACTTGTTAAGTCAGTTTTTTGTTGTTGAAATTAGTAATCATTGAGTTTGATGTTAATGAAGAATTAGACAAAAGAAATTTGATATTATTGAATTGTCATCAACATTGATTTACAAGATTTGCCAGAAATCCACAAACAAACTTAATATTGTGAACTAAAGGTTTAAAAAGTCGAATGCTTTCTTTCCGAAACAAACTGGTTTCTGAGTTCAGGCTCCCTAACGGCCATTTTTAAGACAATAGCGCTTTTCAGATATGAATTCAAACGCTATGCCAACAGTTGCAAAGAAGCAAAATAACCAGAAGCGTGTCAGAAACTCCGAATGTTGAACTGTCAACAACTACACCCAATTTTATATTATATAATCACCTAATACTCTATGACTCCCCATCTCGACGCCTATTTGAGCACTAGGCGAGGTTGAAGCGCCCCATCTTTGTTTTTCTTTGGTAATTTTCCTCAAGCAGGTTAAGTAACCAGGCTGGTTGCAATACATGTTAGCAATAATATGAAGCATCTATTTAGGCCAGTGGTTCCCAACCTTTTTCGAGTGGCGACCCCTTTTATAAAAAGTAAGTGACCCGCGACCCCCATAGAATTAAAAAGCCGAAATTAGTATGGGCATTAATAAGCACTAAAATAAGATTTTCTAGTAGACTTTCAATATGAACTACTCTTGATAACTGTTTTAATAGCATGATTAAAATTGTATACTATTCACTAAACCTTCGTGGTTAATTTTTTAATTAAAATTTTTTGTTAACGCCAACCTATGTCATTATAATTATCTTAATTTTGTTTTTAATCGAAGAATAGTGTTGAAAATCTATTATCGAAAAGTCAATCAATTTTACGTTTGGGTATGAATGGTGAATACTACACCAAAATTGTGTCTGCAGTTTTTCATCTTACTCGGAATCATTCTGCAAATCAAAGAATTCATCTTGCAATTCATCGGGAATGCTGGCAACATCAAGGGAAGAAGAGAATGGGTAATGCGTAAATGCAGATTCTTCTTTTTTCAGCTCAGCGAAATAGCTTCTTTCAAAATTTTAATTATCTCACGGTCAGATTCATCTACCACACCGCAGAGTTTCTCAAATTTACAATATTTCCAAGATTTATTTTCTTTACCGATTTTGCAGTTTTGATAAAAATGCCCCGAGATTATCATGGAAAGTTATAATGCTCGTTCATTTTCCCTGAAGCTTCAGGTTAAGCTTATCAATAAAAATGTGTTATTTAACATTTACGTACATGCAAGCAGCGTTTGATGAGATTTTCTCCTATTTTTTTTTTTTTTTTTTTGCTTGGCATTTTCTATCGCGACTTCATTTGATGCTTGCACTAATGCTGGTGAAAACTTCCTGTTCGATCAAGTCTCTGGCGTTTGCAACTAGCTTCTTACCGACGAAAGAACTCCATATATTTTTTGGTGTGTTCCGAATGACTTTTTAGTTTTGAAGATTTCATAGATTCGTGACTGAGAACAACTTTATATAGTGCGCTTTGTTTCTTCTCTATTACATTTCCAGTGATGTTAATGAAGCCGAATTTCAAAAATTCTTCTAAATATTTATGTTTTGTTTCAAATTACTAAGGTTTAGTATACCAGTTGGCGACCCCCCAGAAAGACCTTCGCGACCCCCAGGGGGGTCGCGACCCCCAGGTTGGGAACCCGTGATTTAGGCAGTTAATGTAGGCATCTGTTCCATTCAATAATAAAATGTCTTCATGAGCATCGAACACGTTTTAAATCATTTGTTTTTGTTCAGAATCTTTCTTATGGAATCATACACACACACATGTAATATATATATATATATATATATATATATATATATATATATATATATATATATATATATATATATATACATATACATATACATATATATATATATATATATATATATATATATATATATATATATATATATATATATATATATATATATATATCGGTCAAAGTGCCAAGTCGGCCAAGGCACACAATGGCCTCCATTGGCTGGCCAGACAAAGAGCGAAATGGTTCTTGGTTTCGGACATTGGCCGGCCAGTCCGCGGAATGGCCCTGGTCGACCGGCTGAGGTCTGAGACGATTCTTGATTTCACCTTTGGCCGGCCAAAGTCCAAATTGGAAGATATTCTGACTAGGGACTAATTAAAATATTAGGAGCAGATTTCAGGGGTGTTTGAATGCCGTAATATCTTGAAATTAGATCTTTATTGATTTTTAATTTTTAAAAAAAAATGGTTTAAAACATTGAATTATTTTATTGCACCACATTGAACTTTTATGCCATTTAGAATTACAAAGAAGCTTGTTGTTTTTCTACCAGCTATTCTTCCAGACTTTTCTCTCCGGGTGGGCACTTGAAATTTCGCCCCCCCCCCCCCCCCCCCCCCCCAAAAAAAAAAAGAGATGCCTGGAGAAACTCTGTTTTCTACTTGCAGCGAATTGTTGTACACTTGGTTGTGCGGTTGCAGTGAGTGTGTGTAACCTTGACCGCCGGTCAGTGATTGTAAAGATGCGATAGGTCGCAGAGACTTTTCCTCGCTTTGCCTCAGTGCCGACAATGTGAGCAGTGTCTCTTGCAGAATCGAAAACTTCTTTCAGTGATACAGTTGTTTTAGAACACCCTGTTCCGTTCCTAACTTGTAGAAAGTGACCTCGACGTTCATGACAACTACAGAGACCGCGACCTCTGTCAACATGTGGAATACCTTCCTCGGATCAGACTTTCTAATGTGATTATTAAAGCATTTTAGTACTTGGAGTGTCAAACTAGCATGAGCTGCCGAAATTTTGCTTGCTTATGATTCTTGCTTACTATGTTATAGTCTGCAAGTAGTTGTCTGCTTGATTGCGAATTCCACAAATTGCACGAGCATCGTTGCCATAAGGATGGGCTGCAGTACCTTCTTTTTCTCACACTACCAGGGCCGGCGCTACCTAGATCTATAAGGCGAACTAAATGGTTGCCTAGGGCACTATCCCTAGGGGGGGGGGGGGGGGCGCAAAAATGTGTAATCGCCATTATCAAAAAGTACCTCATAATTAATAACTTTGATTATCTTTTATAAACTATAGACAAGGTAATATACAAAGACATAGCGATCTATTTCGGCGCCTAGGACGAACTATCAATTTTACACCCCCACCCCAAAATTAGGCCATATATCGACCTACATTTATTCGCCTTGGTGAAAATGCACACCCACCTCCCTCATTTGGAAAAGGTCGGGGCGCTTTTTACCAGTCACTTTGCCTTTTTATTTTGGTGTCACAAAATTGTTGCATAAAACGATTAAATAAGTTCGTAATTTAAATTTTGAACATTTCAAACGGTTATCTAATTTTAATGCTGATTTAGTGATCGATCCAGTGCATCACGGGACATTCCAAAACACGTGCAATTTTAGTTTTTAATAGGGCTTGTTAGTCTCGTTTTCTCTGACTTTGAATTACAAATCTTTTCTTGTGTATAGAGTTTTGTAATGACGGGGTGTTCAAAGTATCGTATTTTTTTACTTGGCGGTTGTCGTGTAGTTGTAGGTCTAGTGGAATCTGATTGGTAGTGGGGGAATGAGAATGTAGGTGATGAAGTATCGTAGCTCTGGAATCCGGGAGTATCGAGCCTTGCGATATTAAGGTATTAAGGTGTGTTTACCGTTATCGTGTATTAGAGGGTCCAGTTAAATCGTTGTTGATTGGGAGTATGGTGATTTTAAGCGAGGTGGTGTCGTAGTTCTGGAGTATCGAGTCTAGTTATGGTTAGGTATCGAAGTTTGATATGCATTGTGCATGTAGTAGAGTTTGAGTATATCGAGTAGTCGAGCTTATCGTACGTTAGATTATTTCAATTCAGGACGAAACACCCTACAAAGAAAGGTAGGCGTCCTTTAGCTGAAAAAATCTTGAGTTTTTTGGAATCTATCTTACCACTCCACTCTTTAAGTATTAATATATAATATTATATAGACTAGGCTTGAATTAATAACTAGACATAAACTTTGTTTTTTATTAAATTATTATTTTTTAATATTTAAACAATATTTATTGCAATTTCTTAAACAGTTACCCCAGGGGTCGGCAACCTGAGGCTCGCGAGCCGCATGCGGCTCTTTGTATGACAAGATGCGGCTCTCCAGTTGAATGCACATATATTTATAATTATATTATTTCATTTTCAAAACTTATGAAAATATTATACTGTTAAGAAAAATTAGCTTAAACAGGATGAAAACACTCATCAGAGAACAGAGAGCATAGGTGAGGTAGAAAGTATACAGAGAGCTGACAGCTGCTTGGGCATCAAAAAGGCCCAGCCACACGGCGGTGTTGTGGACATTCCCTTTACATTCCTCTACAAGCCAGTATGCATTAATTTGACCTGAATGACGTAATATTTTAGTTATTAGCTTCCCACAATTGAGACATGTACTGGGACTGTAGGGTACGAGTTTACCTTACCCTGCGTTTAGTGAGAGCCTAAGGACAGAAGCGACCGTTGCAGTAATCAAATTGATACCCAGTTAGTCGCAGTTGGTCCAATTGAAGGCTGCCTTGCTATGGGAAACGCCTCCTGAGCCGGTGGTGTCCGTAAAGAAAAAAAGAAAAAAAGAAAGAATAAAATAAAATAAAAAATAAGTTATTGGCTACTAAAGTGAATGAAAAAATGGCCGTTGAGGAGGGATACACCGGGCGCTAGGTTGATAGTGCTGTCTCTTTTTCTCTAAACTAAAACCAACCCACCCCCCCACACACCACCCCCCCACCCCCACACACCCCCCCACCCCCCCCCGCCACACACCGCCCCCCACCCCCCCCCCACCCCTCCACCCCCCCCCCCCCCCCAAAAAAAAACATGTCTACCGTCCCATTCAACGAAATATAATTATATACTTTTTCCAGTGTCCGCCCCTTCCCAGAAAATTCTACCCCCCCGCCCCCCGAAAATTTCAAGTACCCCCACCCCTCTCCGGGGAGGAAAAAGTCTGGAAAGAAACACTGAAACCTACCCACCCCCCCCCCCACACACACACCCACCCCCCCCCACACACCGCCCCCCCCCCCACCCCCTCCACCCCCCCCCCCCTCCCAAAAAAAACATGTCTACCGTCCCATTCAACGAAATATAATTATATACTTTTTCCAGTGTCCGCCCCCTCCCAGAAAATTCTACCCCGCCCCCGAAAATTTCAAGTACCCCCACCCCTCTCCACATTAATTAGGCGGTAATTTTATTATAGAGTATCCATGAAGAAATTTCTTTTGAGTTAGGGAGGGGGGGGGGGGGGGGGGGGGGGGGGCTCAGACGTTCTTACGCGGGGGTGGGGCTTCGCCCCTACCCGAAGAATTGTATGAAAGAAACTCTTCACGCAAACCACTTAGATTAGACAAAATTTCTTTGTTATTCAATGTTTACTCGAGAATCAATGACGTCATATTACTGTGTGCACTATCCGGCTTGAGATTATTTTCTACTCTGTGCTAAATATGTCGACGTCATACTTCGTTTTTTTCGAATTACTCTGCATGTTTTTATTTTCCTTGTGTTTTCTCTAGAGCGTTCTTGTCAGATAGATAGATAGACAGACAGCGAAAACTATTATTATAGATTACTAATTTCAATATTTTATCATAGCAGAGCTAGCTAAAACATTTCTTCTGCGAAACATTTCTGTTTTATATGAATCCTTTTAAGTCATATTTAACGCTATTTATTTCAAATCAAAAAGTCCAATATAGTTACCCCTGAGTAACCCATATTTAATTTTTTTTTAAAGGTGTCCCCTTATTATTAGGGGATCCAAAATTAGATTACTTTCTCAATCTACAAAAATTCAGGTAACTGCATGTCATTGTCATCAAAATTGGCTAGAAGTATGTTAAAATAAAGCTACTGTTTATGCTTGCAGGCAACCTACAGTTAAGTAGTCATTTGGTAAAAATATATTGCTTTGACAAGGTTACATAATTAATATAAACATTAATTATAATGATTTGTAATGAAATTTAAAGACTTTTATTGTGTTTTTCAAGCATGTCTTAGTTACACTTGGTTAATTTACCTATTCTTGTGAAAGTTATTTCCCTTGAATAAAATTTTGGTATTTGGATTTCCAAATGGGAGATATTCGTTTGCTTAACTTTACATTCATTTCAAATTCCTCACCTTAGGTTATTATTTGCTTTTGTAAAAATTATATAGAGCATAAGTTCTAAACAAAATAGTTTGGTAGTTTTTTTTTAGCATTATCAAGTTGAAAAACAATTACATCAGTAGCCGTTGTAGATTGCAATCTATATATATATATATATATAATTCTCTACATGGGGACCATGCGAGACACCACCAAGACGTAAGCTCAACAGACCATATCGTCACCACCATCAGTCTGGTGAGCCTTTTACTATTGGGTCGAATTAGTGACGGCTATTAGGGGCAAATAATTTAGTTTTTAAAACGATTTGAAACTAAGAGGAGGTAATAACACGTTCTGATTGATCTTTTCATTGTCGTCTGTAAACTGTCGCCACCATGGCTGCTTTCGGGGGGGGGGGGGGAGGGGGGAGAGGAATGGAAAGTGAGGGTGAGGTTAATCGTCCTTCAGGAGCTACTGATAGTGTTTTTAAAGCAAATTATGTTAAGTGGAAGCATTGGTAGTGTCGAATTAACAAAATAGGAAAAATAGGAAATAAAACACATAAATAGCGGCGTATGCTTACGTTGCGGGTCAGCTCGTACTTAATATTAGTAGACACAGAGGCGTAGCGAGGGGGGGTGGGGGGCGGGGGTGCGGACCGCACCGGGTGACACCATTTAGGGGGTGACACCACGGCAAAAAATAGCAAAATATATAGAGGAAAAACTTGGGGGGGTGCAAATCGAAAGTTTAAAGGGGGGGGGGGGTGCAAATTGACAGTTTGAAGGGGGGGGGGGGTGCAAATCGAAAATTTGAAAGTTTGTCCCCGGGAAGGATCGCTACGCCTCTGGGTAGACATACAGTATGAGCGCCGTTGTATTTCTCCCTTAACGGGCCATTCATATCGTACTAAATATTAGTAGACATGCAACTAATGCGTCTAAAATCGTCTTGGTCGCAATTTAATCATCTCGTTAATTGTCTTTTTTCACATTTTCACTCTCTCCTAAAAAGCTCATATATAACAATTGTAGGCTGGAATCTATAACATTTGTAAACTTTAATTTTTCAAAAACAAAAATTCGTTACATAAACACACAATATAGACACTTTACAATTCGAACTAAAGACAGTCAAGCTTAAAAATAAAAAAGGGTAAGTTCCGTTCTAGAACTCACCTTGGGAGGACTGCAGACCGTCCAACACAACAAAAACTGTGTTTTTTTCAGTGACTTTTTACTTTTTTCTCCCTGGAAAGAGAGAGAGGGGGGGGGGGGCACTTTAAATTTTCCGGTGCCGGGGGGGGGGGGGGGGGGGGGGGGCTATGTCGTAAAGTAGACTCTTGGACTTGGCAACAATTTCAATAGAATGTGATTATGCTTGAAGCAATTAGTACAAACGTTTGCGACGAAGGAGGCAAGTAAAAATTGATTTTGATGTCTACATAATATACCGTTTATGCAAATTTATAATAAATTAATATCATTTTCAATCGATTGTTTTCTTATACATGTTTTATTAATTAATTTGTATGAAAGAGGGCGTTTTAATAATTTTTACCTAGGGCGCTAAATAACCTGGCGCCGGCACTGCACACTACACATAATCTGTTGGCGTTTCTATTGTCATTAAGCAGGTTTGTTAACCGAAGAAGTGGTTGCATTTATAGCATACTCCATATTTTTTCCTCAAGATCTTCCTATATCACTAAGTTTTTCGACAACTTTTCAAGACAGATTCGACTTTTTACTCCCACCTTTGCTTTGTTTTTAACCTTTACTCCCACCTCTGCTTTGTTTTTAACCTTTACTCCCACCTCTGCTTTGTTTTTAACCATGTCCGCTTGTTCAGTCGGCCTTTTATAAAATCGAATTATTTGATTTCTCCGATACCAATCATAATGGTGCTTGTTTATTTCCATTCTTACCTCTACTTCCTTATGCTGAATCCATTGACAATCTCCTGATATCACCTTGCATTACCCTGGCATGGCTAGTCTGGAAATTTCGGTTAGTGGTCAAGCTAGAAAGTGTTGAGACATGTAGATGTAAAGTAAAACAAACAACCACTGTGTTCATCACTAACCATAACGGGTGGGAATAAAGAAGTGGATCTTTGGAGGTTTGATGCGACCAGGTTCAGGTGATCTCTACTTTCCCTACCCTATTGACAGACAGGTAACTTTAAAACCTGGAGCCCACCCCCCCCCCCCCCTTTTTTTCTTTAAATGTGTTACCTTCTTGTTTTCTATGCAAAATTTCAAGTGAAAAGTTGAAGACACTGAGAAAACACACAAACTATACAAGTGTCACATCACCCTTACAATAAAAACATTAGCACTACATAAAAGTACTAGTCATAGACGGTATTTCATTCACTTTTAATTTACAAACCAAGTATTTCTATTATTTACTATAAATTAATATTCATGTTGAATAATACCAGCAATGTCACTATGTAAACACAAAAATCCATTCAATGTCAGAATGTTCACATAAATGTAATCTACACACAATTTGTAAAAACCCCCATAAAATATTAAAATATGCTCACAGTCTAAGTAAAAATTATTAGAAAATTAGAATTTGAGAAATCTCCCTACTATTAAAATAATCCTTGTGAAAGGTAATGTTTTAACCTTATTTTTTTTTACCAAAAACTTATGTCATAACATTTGTTGTACTGTTTGTTTAAAAAAATACATTCATGGTTTTCATTTTTATAAAAAAAAAGTACCGGCTTGTAAATAACTAGATATTTACAATTAAAAGTTCAAACACTGCCAAACAAATCTAAAAATAAACTGGTTTATATTGTTACATGTCCATACAACTGGCCAGTGTGAATCAAAGTTCATGAGTTGTATCATTCTACAGATATCCTTGAGTCACAAAGACTACCTAGGGCAACACCATCATTCCATAACCATCTCAGACATATTTTTTTTTTAGATTTAGTTTATGCATTCACCAATTATGGCTCAAACTCAAAGCATAATTATTCACTTTTTGCTGATTTACTTTCAACATGAAAACTCTCCATAGCACATTGTGATAACAGTGATGATATACGTAACAGGAAATCTTGTTTGACCAGTACTGGAGAGTCCAGTATAGAGATAAGTTACAGCCATAATTTAAAAAACAACAAATTGAAATTATATATATACAAATGTGTATACTAACAAATGAAAACACAATTTCTTACACAAACGCAAATCTTTATCTCTTCAGTCACAGCATTTTATATTAGCTCAACACAGTGTATGCTCTGCATTTATTATTTGCATTTCCATTACACTGAAAATATTTCAGCAACATACTTTATACTTGGCAGCACTTATGTCAGCTCTTATAAAATCTTAAATTTAAATAAATAAATAACATCAATATAAATCTTAAATAAATAAATAACATCAACATATACAACACACATTTTGTTTACAGACAAGACCAGGTAAAGCCACTTTTAGAAACTGCAACTTCCTTCACAGACATGCCGTTCTCTACTTGCGGTGGACTTGTCATCCTATCCTTCACACCCTCCAGTAAACCAGGATAAGCATAGGAAATGTCCACAAACAGCTTTTGTAGGCCAGAAGCCAGTTTGTCTTTTTCCTCAGTGTTGACAGCCAGGGTGTTAAGGGCTGCGCTGGGCAGGTAGGTGCTGTGTGACACGCTGGCTGATATCACTTCCTGGCTGGTGTGTAAAGTACAGGCCACGTTCAGCGTGTGATGGGGCAGGAGAGGACCCATGATTTCAAACACGTGGGTAGTTCCAAGCTTGGAGTCCAGTGGTTTCTTATCTTTCAAGACAGAATGCTTCACCTAAAAATAGTAAAAAATGTAATCAAAATGAAAGCTAAGTAAATGTTTTAAAAACAATTACTGCAATGCTATTAATATAAAATTTAAATTATAGGCCACCAAAAATTTTAAATTACAAAGTTAAGAGAATTTTTACAAATAAAATGTGGGAAAAACCATGACCATAATTCTAATTTTAGAATTTTCTGATTCGCCAACTTTAATCAGTGAGACTTCAATTAAAGTAAGTAAAGACCCTTTCAAACCTGACGGTCTACGGGCAAGTGAAGTCGAGTTCACTTGTTTCTGTGACCTCTGCATATATGAAGAGATCGTGTGGCCAGCACTATGCCGTCTTTTTTCCCTAATGTGAGTTAAGTACCCATCAGAGCTGGGTGGACTCAGGGAAATTCTACTGACTTGAATCAGGATTCGAACTCAAGACTTTTGGGTTAGAAGTCTAGTGTTCTACCGCTAAGCCACTCGGTGCCTTAGTGAACCCAAGGTAGTGTATAAAGTTTAAAATTAAAAATAGACCTTACGTAAACATAAATTTAAAATCACTGTAAAAAAAAGTTTTAAGCTCACATTGTTTTGTACAAGCAGAGATCCCACAAAGGGAGTAGGGGACAGCAGGGTTGGGGGGATGCCATGCTGTGGCCCACTGCTGGCTATACAACCTGGGTAGTTGAGCAGGAAGTTGAAGAATGGGTGGACGTCAACACCTTCCACATACAGCATAGACTGGGGACGGTTGTCTATCTCACGGTAACCTTCACGTTGTCTTCATTAGGTTAAAGAACACTACACAATCTTTCAAGTTTATGAATACAGTGTTATTTCTCATAACCTGTAAATGTTGCTATGTACAGCAATTCTGTAGAAATAATTGTACTTTAAAACCCCCCCCCCCCCCCCAATGACCTGTCATTTATTGTTATTTGGTACAAATGGTCTTCAGATATGAAAGGAACTAGTCATTTGATTAATGCAGAAAGATTTGATTTAGTGAACTGCTACCAGATTTTCTACTGTACAATGAGTGTTTTTAATTTTTAAAAATTCTTCTTAACATTAGATAGTTTTTCCTGAATTTCAGTACTCATGTGAGATAATTCTTTTAAAACACAGAAATGAAGCTTGCACCTCTATTTTTAAAACAACTTTGTCACTTATACTTAGGCCTATAGGTTTTAATTAAAGAAATAAATACTTAAAATTAAACAAATATTTCTTGTCTGCTTGTTTAAAAAGATACAGTTTGACTTCAAATGGCTTGAGTGAAGGAAAATCTTTGTGATTTAATCCCATTCCTTCCAGCCATCTTGAGGCCCCATCATGATCCGCTATATCAAAGTCATCATCACTGTCATCATCCTGCTCATCAGTAGCTTTGGCTTCAGGAGGGTCAGAGATATGGTCACTGAAAAGCATTTGATGTAATATTTCTTTAAAAACAAATTTTTTTGCACACTTCAGCATTGCAAACAAATTTTTTTTAATAATTAAATCTTCAACTTCAAATATTTACAGTAGTAGACATCTCAGTGGCCAGATAAAACTCTTGGTTTAGCCAACTCCATATTTAAAAACAAAGAACCAGTTTTTTAAAGTCCATCCACCAACTCCTATGCCACTACTTTCAAAACTTAGGTAAAAATATAAAATATGGTCTCTACCTTTCAGTGCCAGTGTGATTCACTTCAACATTTTCTTTATCTGATTTAGAATCAACCTGTTGACACCTCTGAGATAGATTCTCATCATCTTTGCTGCTGTTCTTGTCTGTTTTCTTCAGCTTTTGTGTTTTTATATTTGGCATTCGATAGCCTATACCTATGCCAAAAAAAAAACAACAAATAATTAACAATTGATAAGAAATCAATAAAGTACAAACACATTGAATAAGGCCTCAGTTACATGTGGATAATAATTGCACAATGATCCTCTTCAAATCTGAAACTGATAATTGACATACAGCCACCTACTTTATTTAGGTAGAAAATACAAGTTGGCATGTGTAAACCCACCTTCTCTGTTCAACATCTCCCTCAGCCCTCGAGTGGATGGTGACAAGATGGCAGAAATAGATGTGTTGTTAGTTGACCTTTGACACCTGAACAACACTGTAAACTGATGTGTACATGTGTAAAAGTATGGACAGAGACCGCTGCGGAACTGCTGATACACAGATGTAAATGTGTTTGCCCTGCAAAATAAATTATTACAGTTTAAATGCACTGAATTATCGATCTTTTTTTATGTCATTATACGAACACTGTAACAGGTAAAGATAAATAACTAGTTTATTTACAAACAGATTCACTATGGGTAATACAAAGTTGAATATTTATTCTACCCCAACACAATTTCTGACAACAAAAAGTCAAAAATATTTTTAAAATTTAAAGATAAAAAGGGATAAATTTGACAGACAATACATAATCTGTTACATAAATTAAAAAATTGCAATTTGTTACCAATCTTTCTGAAAAGCATCAAGGACTTCATTACTAGTTGAAACAAGTGAAGCTGACCTAAAAAAGTTAAAAAAAAAAGGATAGAAAATGTTAGACATTCATACAAGCCATGTGATTTATTCAAAGTGTATATACAAGAAAACAAAAAGTAAGATCTTACCGTGACTTAAAGTCTGTGTTCATCCTGGGAAAGGTTGAAATCCAAGGCATGTGTGGGTAAGTGTAGTACAAGCAACATCGCTTTAGCTTCTGGTATACATCCAGAGAATTCCAACTAGAATCATTCTGAAAAGTTTACAGATAAACAAGTCTAAAAATAAATATTTGTAAATACAACAAAAAATAAGTACAGTATTTTTTTAGGATCTTATGGTCTTACTGATAGAGTTCACGAACACATGTAGGAAACACGTCTCTAACAGGTCAAGACTCAAATGATAGCAAGTACTACACAGCAACTCTATTGCTACCATATCATTACTATGATACCATGTATCACTATTAAAAAACACCATAGGTTTACATATGAAAATAAAAAATCTTACATCTAAATTGTGGTGAATAAAGCTGTCCACATGCTTAGCATCAATACCAGGAATTTTCTTGTAGGATGACTCTAGACTATGGACAATTACACGAAGCTTTGATTTTAAGCTCCAGTCCAAAGGAGGGTTGGGATGCAACTGAAATATTATGTCTGAGATTAATGCAAAATAAACAGCTGTTAAGTAAAACAAAATTATACATTTTTGTAATAATTGTATGATCAAGTCTAGAATATTTTTATATGCATTGTGAATTTAAAAAATAACTCCATTAAGACACCTTGCTGTGCTCCTCAGGGTTTGGAGAAGTAATCAAGCTGGGGTAATCAGAAGGATGCTGATCTTGTTGCATGTTTTGTATATTTTCATCACTCATCAGCTCTTTAGTCTTCAAACTTTCACATTTCTTTGGTGGTGAGATTTCATCTTTTTCCTGAACAAAAGTAGTAACATTAAGTTTAAAAAGAAAATAACCCTTAGGCAGATTTTTAAAAAAATTTTCCAATAAAAAAAGATATGACAAAACAACACACAATTATGCCTACCTCTAGATCAGAAAGACTTCGAACATGATGCTGATGATTATATTCAACTTGTTTTTCTGTTTCAATTCCCACTGGATGCTCTGCATCCTCACATACAGATGTCTCCACTAAAGTGTTCACCTTCTCACTGTCTGTCACTGTTTCTGTTGTACCGACCTGTAGGCTGAACCTACGCTTGTTGCTAGAGTGAGAATCACAGCTGAAAGGGTTTTTCCTTTTTTGAGAGGAGCTAATGCTGGAGTCACTTTTTGAGGCTAATATTCCATTTGTTTTGACAGAATCAGAGAATGCAGACATTGAGTTACGTCTGGAAATGTTGATTTTTGATTTCTGTGTTATCCCACCAGAACTTTGTCTTTTTATGCGATGAATTTTCATGATGTCGTTTGGATTTTTCCATTCTTTCTTACTTGGTGATGTCATAATGATAATGATCTTGACCTTAGTTGATGGTTTAAGAGAAAACGTTTATGAATTATATTTGTAAGGTATAATATAGGCCTAGGTCAGGAATATAAAGGTATAATTTATTTTAGAAAAGTGAATTCAGACTTTAAAAAATCTGGACGGGTCTACACTGTGGTATGACGTTTGTCGCTGGATTGCAGAAGAAACCCAATTTCTCAGTTACTACGTAATCAGGGGAGGGGGGTGGGGGGGGGGGGAGGAAGAGTGTTAGACCTGTCATTTTTTTTTGTTGTTGTGTGACTGACCATGTAAATGTGTTACAAGTATTTAAAATTGTTATTTAATGAAAGAATGATCGGCCATACAAATCTTGACATCTTTTTTTTTTTTACCAGCTATTGTTCCTTTGGTCTGAGGTTGCAGGCAGGTAGTCTTATAAAAAATTATGAGGGAAGCTGTAAGTGGTAGTCTACGTATAATTTAACTACCTGTATTTTGAATTCACTCATCAAACTGTTTTTGAAATCTTTGCGAAAGCTGACGATTAGGGCCATACTAACACACCCCTCCTAGTAACTAAGGTCACTGATATCTAAACTTGTATGAACTGACCGTGACCCCAAGAACGTAGTTGGTGCTGTTTGGCTGGGGAGGGGGAGGGAGAATAAAAGTTACGGTACAGTTCATCCTATGATGTATTAGACTGGGCTACTGTGACCTCACAGTAACCCCTTCACTGTCTCTTGTTGTGTGTGTGTGTGTGGGGGGGATACTGGTAGTTATTAATAGCAGACAAGTTTCTCAGCTACAAGCACAAAAAATGGTGTGGTTACAAAGGTCTGGTTTCATTTTCAAAGTAGGGTACGAACAGTTTCTAGTCACTTGTATTATATTTGTAATCATTTTTTTAAATTTTTGTAATCTAGATTGTTCTACTTGGCCTAGCAGCTAGCTAATTAATTAATGGTCGCAAATCCGCTGCAAGTCAAAAACATTAAACAAATTATTACATTTGACTTTATTATTTATATTTATAGGCCTAGGCTATATTTTTTTATTTTTAGATCTACTAATTTAATTCTACTATTATATTTATTCCTGTTTCCTTTTGCCGATTAAACTTAAAACATTAATTTGATTAATTTACTACAATCGACTTTCCATTTATTTATATTTCAATGGTCAAATAAACCATGGTTTACTGTAACTTTAGTTACCAAAACTCAAACATTACTTGATAATTTGCGACGCTAAACTAAGGTTTTACCAAAATTAGTGCCTAATGGATTAAATATGCCTATATGGATGTCTATCATTCAGTGGTCATGTTTAAATTGAAAATTGAGTAAATTTTAGAATTTAGTAAGAAAATCATATAATTTTAAATGAAGTGACTACTCAAAGAAGATTTTTCTCCCCAACGTCTCCACTTAGTCGGCAAAAGATAGCTCTGCGCATGCGCAGTGACCTATGGCTAGGGTTAGAACTAGGGTTAGGATTATTGATAGGGTTAGGGTTTGTGTTAGGGTTCTGCGGTTGTAAACACACGCATGCTTAGTACATCGAAAACATCACCGCGATGGCAAGTCATAGTTTCTCTCCATTGCGCATGCATATCTTTTTCCAGCTAGCATCAGCCAATTTTAAATGGATGCAGAGGATACTTTACTTTCGGTTGGTTTGTATGTGAAACGGTCAGTAAGTAAAATAATATTAATAGCACCTAAGCTAAGGCCTAAGGGAAATCGTGAGTTCAGCTTCGTGAGCGCAGATCGGATGGCAACTCAAGATCTAGACTAGAATCTAGTCTAGATCACTAGAATTCTAGATCTAAAAGTCAGCCTAGGTGAGAAGAGTGACAGATGACACACAAACTTAGTACCCAGTTTTTACACTAAGTGACAAAACCGAGTTTAGAGACTTAGGCCTATATTAAATTATATAATAAAAAATAACCATCAAATGAATGGCATTGGCGTGTATACTAGATCTATACCTAAATCTAAAATCCTAGATTTAGTCGAGTTCTAGACTTGAATAAATTTTAACTACAAAACGACTCCAGGCTTTGTAATATTTTTCCAATACGAGCTGGCGCCTTCTCTTTCATAAAATGCGTTCCTAGTTTTTAGTTGATCAAAGGGAAATTATTACAAAGAAAGGCAGGATTGCCATATTGGCACCCTCTTGAATGTTTATTCTACTCCCCAAATTGGAGGCGAGCGAGTTGACGAGATTCCTTCCATAATGTTGTTGTCATGGAATAAAAACGTGCTTTTTAGATTTAGACCGTAAAAAAAAATAAAAAATAAAAACTTAAGCCTAAAATTAATTTAGAAATTTTATATTCTTAGAATAAATGCTATAAAAGTTGCAAATCCAGAGAACTTGAAAATAATTTGTTGAGTTTAAGGCTACATTTCTATTTATTTTCATCAAGCCTAAGTTATAACCGGATGTTTCACTTTCGTAAGACAAATATTGATTGGCTGTACAGTAACTTAGTAATCGATAACTATTTGTTTACAAAACTTTGCAGATCAAGTTTTTAAATTACAATGCAAATTTAAAACCCCATGACCTAGTTTTCTATTTTTAGCTTACAATGTGTACAATAAAATCTATGGCAGCCTATCCAATAGCAGGATGCCATGTTTATGTCGCCATTACACGTGAAAACCAAATTGTTTTTGCTTTTTTTAAAATTTTTATTTAGTTACCGAAAATATTATAAACATCAAATACATCCAATCTTTAGTAAAGTCCGAAAAAAACCAGTTTAGTAATCGTAACGTTGTTTTGTTTTGAATTACGCAAAAAATGGTAGACTCTATAATCAATGCTGCTCTCTAATTTCTCAACATAAACCTTCCTTTTTGGTGGCTAGCAGTTTCTTAAAACTAACAAGAAACCCTTAAAAAATTAGCACAGATTCCACACAGAGTTCCTTTCACGCATCTCTCTCCCCTAACCCTAACCCCAGACAAAAGAATCTGAAAGAACGCTCCTTCCATACAAGTTATGCAAATTGCGGACGTTATTTGCGCTTTCATTGTAATGACAAGATGGTAAAATATTCATGTTGAAATGCAAAATTATTCAATTTAATAAAACATTTTATTTTTAACATTAAACATTAAAACATTGATTGTATTCCCTAAATACACACCCTGTTTTGTTATTTGCATAGGTATAACGTTATGTATGTTTTTGCAAATTATAAAGTTTTAAGCAAACAAAAACATGGTGTAATAATTTATTTAAATGTATGGTTAAATACAAACCAAGAATTATAACATCAGAAGGGGGCCACACATCTATTGGAGTGTGGGAATGCAGGCTGTTGTGAAGGCGTTTGACTATGTGAAGGGGCGAACTTTCAATTTTGCGCACCCATTTACACAAACACAAACACACACACACACACACATATATATATATATATATATATATATATATATATATATATATATATATATATATATATATATATACATATATACATATATATATATATATATATATATATATATATATATATATATATATATATATATATATATATATATATATATATATATATATATATATATATATATATATATATACATATATATATATATATATATATATATATATATACATATATATATATACATATATATATATATGCATATATATATATATACATATATATATATATATATATATATATATATATATATATATATATATATATATATATATATATATATATATATATATATATATATATATATATATATATATATATATATATATATATATATATATATATATATATATATATATATATATATATATATATATACAGTGGCGTAGCGAGGTCGGGTGTCAACCGGTGCGGCACTTAATGGTGTCACCCCCCCCCCCCCACCCCCCGAAGCGTAGCGACTCTTCCCGGGGACAAACTTTCAATTTTCGATTTGCACCCTCCCTCGAACTTTCGATTTGCATCCCCCCTCTAACTTTCCATTTGCACCCCCCCTCATACTTTCGATTTGCACCCCCCCCTCAAATTTTTCTCTATATATTTTACTATTTTCTGCCTTGCTGTCAGCCCCCTAAATGGTGTTACCCGGTGCGGTCCGCACCCCCCCGACCCCCCTCGCTACGCCTCTGTATATATATATATATATATATATATATATATATATATATATATATATATATATATATATGTTTATTTGTGTGTGCGTGTGTGTGTGCCGTGCGCATGACTCAGTCCGGAAAAGATTTTACAATTACGGCGTATGATCTTCGTTTACTAAAACTTTACTCGACGCCAATTAAATTCCCTTTAAGATGCGTTATTCAGATTAATAATGTCAAAAAATAAAATAAAAACCTGATCTGAGTTTCGAGGGTAGTTGGTAACAGGCGCTGATTTGTTTAGGCCAGTTTTTGTTTTATGTTATGTCTTTGGAACAGTCTCTGTTATAATATGTTACATAGTCGGATTATAAGTTTGTTACAACAAGGTCATACAAGTGATACAGAGCAGCACATTCTAAGAAACGTTTGAGAGTATCTAGCACCACCCATCTCTTTAAAGAGTTGACTTTATTACCAAGTGGTTTGGAGATAAAAAAAATGTGAAACAATTTAGACATTCTAATTCTTAAGTATGCATGAAAATGCATAAATTCTAAAAAATGCCCCTACAGTTCAACAAAAACTTTATGGCGTTATGACACTACAAATGGCCATATATTTCACCAAAGATACCCCAAAAATTTATAATAATAATATGGACATAATTACCCTTTGGACGTCCATAAAATGTATACTGAACATGTATATAAAAACTTTAGAGATTCCACCAACGTTATACACAATGATGATGGGTATAATAACTGTTGGATTCCCTACGAAGATATAATACCATATAATACCGTTGAAGCTGGGTTGATGAAATTTCATATTTAAGTATTATATCAAATTTGTAGTTCTCTATCAACTTTTCGGCAATTTCCGGTAACCGGAAGTGGAAGTTATTCTACTTTTGGTTATTCAAAAGCCTATAATTTGAGTAATGTTTCAGATGGATAAACGAAATTTCACATATAAATAAAATATTTAATTTTATGCATTCTGTCAAATTTTAAGTACTTTCCGTTGATTGGAAATAGTACTTTGCGCTATTTCAGATTTCTAAAAAAAAACGCATAAAAATAAAGTTAACCTCAGCCTACAACACACACGCACCGTTCGAAATATCATTTATTTTTTAAATATATCGATCTCTTTCTAAAATATTTTCTGAGCTCTGTCAACATTAAGTAGATCTATATGTTAATCGATTTCTGTTAACAAAACAGTCTTTTAAAAGCGCTTCGCACTTTCTGACTCTCCGTTTCCTCGTCACACATCGCCACACTATTGCGGACCCCCCTACGTCAGCCTACCCCCCCCCCCCCCTTAATCCGCTACTGATCCATACATAGACTAACGTTCGAATATCTAGAAATAGACTTACGTTAAAATATCTATATATAGTCCATAGACATAGACCAACTTTAAAAAAATCTAGACATAGATCAACATAGTCTCTTTCTATAAAAAATTACAATGTAAATACAATAAGAACGACAAATCCAAAGTAGGCCTACAAGTTTTAATTAGCCATAAGTTTTCAAAAATGGAGTTAAGAGTTTACAGAATTAAAGAGATGTTTGTATGTTTGACTAAGGAAGTTGGCCAAAACAAATATAGATCCACAGTGTAACTCAGTCCGATTCAGGTTATGGTATAAATGTTAATATTCTCACATAAATTTGGGAAATGTCTATTCAGTTATTTACTGTCGAAATAACTAGCAGACTTTTCTAAATTTAGTTAAAATAACGAATTTTATTTCACATTTTCCCTAAAGTGTTTAATCGACATCAACACGTTCCAGCAAGCAAGATTAATGTTTACTATTTAAAAAGCGAAAGTGGCTTGACTATTTCTCTTTTGAATACAAACTCTGACTCGTATTCGGTGCAATGTCAAATAACGTGTTTTTGTGCGATCGTGTTCGAGGAAGCGAAATCGAAACTGAAAGTTTCGCGATCGGAACATGACGTGAGGTAGGCCTATAAGGTGAAATGGTAAAGTACGCACACGAAGCTGTAATGGTTTTTATACCAACAAAGGATTTTACAAAATGAGGTTCACTACAGCCCAGTGGCGTAGCGAGGTCGGGTGTCACCCGGTGCGGCACTTAATGGTGTCACCCCCAGAGGTGTAGCGCGACCCTTCCCGGCGACAAACTTTCAAATTTTCGATTTGCACCCCCCCTCTCAAACTTTCGATTTGCACCCCCCCCCCCCTCAAACTTTCGATTTGCACCCCCCTCAAACTTTCGATTTGCACCCCCCTCAAATTTTTCTCTATATATTTTGCTATTTTTTGCCTTGGTGTCACCCCCCCTTCCTAAATAGTGTCACCCGGTGCGGTCCGCACCCCCCTCACTACGCCTCTGCTACAGCCAGTGGCACTAGTTCTGGTGATAGCAGGTGCTGTAACTCCACCCTCCTCAACAAATTTGCATTTTTGGTTTGGTGGTGTACTCTCTTCCTCATACTACTTTGTTAATTTTAACTGATAAATCATTTTTTGACAGTACATTTTAAGTTTTTTTTTAAAAAATCGTAGTGTCACCCTCTAAGTGACATGTTTCTAAACATTTTTGAGTGGCGACTCTAAAGCTAAGTGACTTGCGACACCCATACAATTAAAGAAGAATATTGATTAAATCCACAAGGTGTCAATCGCCATAAAACCCTACGCGACTCCCCCCCCCCCCCCCCACTTCGGTCGGCGCACTAGGATTTTCTCGGTAGACAATGTGTGAATCGCAAAATTTGTTTTGCGAAATGAAATACCAATATTGTATACGGTCCAACAAATCAATGGCACGTTGTATTGACCGCTACCACGATAATTCTCATGCTTCTAAATATAGAACTTAGTTCTTGGAATTTTTCTTTCAGATTCTGCTGCTAGTGCTAGGGTGCTTACTAGATTGCTTTGCTTTCGGGATCAGCCGAGAGCAAATTGTTGACAACATAATCAGCTCTCAAAGTTGGTACCCTCCACACTTGGTATTATCAAACAGTGGCGTAGGCAGGGGGGGGGGGTCATAACCCCCCCCCCCATAGACCCCTCGGTATATAGAAAAAGTATGAGGGAGGGGTGCAAATTGAAAGTTTGAGGGGGGGCAAATCGAAAGTTTGATGGGGGGGGGGGGTGCAAATCGAAAGTTTGTCCCCGGGTAAAAATTGGACCCCCCCCCTTAAGACGATCCTGGCTACGCCACTGTTATCAAATACATTCTTTTTCAGACAACATGTGACCAGGTGGAAGCTACAATTTTGGGTTTAAAAAGTAATTTTGAATTGTTGTGGTTTTTGCATTTTTAAAAAACCCTTTTTCTCAAATTGTAATAAACATTGATCTATATACCTAATGTTGAACCAGCTCAGTTTGAATTGTAGAAATAAATCCGTTAAAAAAAAAAAACAACCAAATAACAAATGCTTTTTTGTAGGGGAAAAAGCTGAAGTGTGACATAATTTTAGCGCGGGTCTGACGTTTTGAGACGTAATTTATGGACGATCCCTAAAATAACAAAACTAAATGTTTCAAAAAGTGTCCAGATTTAATCATCAGTGGGGTCGGCGTGGTCGAGTCGGTAAAGCTTAAGGTTGCTAAACCAAAAAGTTTCGAGCTCGAACCCTCGGGCAGATGAGGCTCGTTAGCTGGGGACAGCCACTCTTCTAGGAAGGACAACTCCAAATTCAAACAACTGCTGCCTTGTAGCTTGTTCTTGGTTGGACAAAGGTTGGCGCATAACCAGTTGACACGTATCCTTAATTGTGTTGAAGGCGTGGTCGATAAATTCGAAAAAAAAAGTCTCGAGTTCAAAACCACTGGCAGATAAATCTCGATACCTTTCAACACAAAAATTTAAGAACGTAGAAGAAGAAGAAGAATCATCAATAATGCTAAATAATTTAAAATGTCATATGTTAAATGAAACTGTCCAGACGTGGACACAATTGTCACTAGTTGTCAATCAACAAAAACAGGTTCAATTAAATCACCAATTAATTTAATATTTAATAATACTGACAATTATATAGTCATATTCTTGCTTTATCTTTGAAACATCTCTGCATTAGAAATGTATCAAATTTGTGTTTAAACATTTCATTTACCCATTTACAAACAGACAGAAAGACATTGACACTTAACACAAATTATTTGTTTTTTTTAACAACTTTCGCAATTTATTCATCAACACAGAAAATAGTTTATGTTCATTAAGAAACAATATTATTACAAATTATTATAATGGCGACATTGGGCTGCATTTTGAGAACCACTCCACAAAGTTCCACGTAACGCGACAAATTTATGCCCTATAAAGCCAGTTTTTTCCCATTCACTTCTCTTGTAGAACCGCCAGTTACGTGGAGACTTCCAGACTTTTACAGACTTGAGTCAGGTAAAGTAAAGACTTCTAGACTTTTTACAGACTTAAGTAAGGTAATGTAGACATTGTCCAGACTTTTAAAGATACCTAAGCAAGGTAAATTTGAGACTTCTAGACTTTTTACATACTTTTGTAAGGTCAAGTAGACACTGCCCAATCTTTTTACATACTTTTGTAAGGTCAAGTAGACACTGCCCAATCTTTTTACATACTTTTGTAAGGTCAAGTAGACACTGCCCAATCTTTTTACATACTTTTGTAAGGTCAAGTAGACACTGCCCAATCTTTTTACATACTTTTGTAAGGTCAAGTAGACACTGCCCAATCTTTTTACATACTTTTGTAAGGTCAAGTAGACATTGCCCAATCTTTTTACATACTTTTGTAAGGTCAAGTAGACACTGCCCAATCTTTTTACATACTTTTGTAAGGTCAAGTAGACATTGCCCAATCTTTTTACATACTTTTGTAAGGTCAAGTAGACACTGCCCAATCTTTTTACATACTTTTGTAAGGTCAAGTAGACACTGCCCAATCTTTTTACATACTTTAGTAAGGTCAAGTAGACACTGCCCAATCTTTTTACATACTTTTGTAAGGTCAAGTAGACACTGCCCAATCTTTTTACATACTTTTGTAAGGTCAAGTAGACACTGCCCAATCTTTTTACATACTTTTGTAAGGTCAAGTAGACATTGCCCAATCTTTTTACATACTTTTGTAAGGTCAAGTAGACACTGCCCAATCTTTTTACATACTTTTGTAAGGTCAAGTAGACACTGCCCAATCTTTTTACATACTTTTGTAAGGTCAAGTAGACACTGCCCAATCTTTTTACATACTTTTGTAAGGTCAAGTAGACATTGCCCAATCATTTTACATACTTTTGTAAGGTCAAGTAGACACTGCCCAATCTTTTTACATACTTTTGTAAGGTCAAGTAGACACTGCCCAATCATTTTACATACTTTTGTAAGGTCAAGTAGACATTGCCCAATCTTTTTACATACTTTTGTAAGGTCAAGTAGACACTGCCCAATCTTTTTACATACTTTTGTAAGGTCAAGTAGACACTGCCCAATCTTTTTACATACTTTTGTAAGGTCAAGTAGACATTGCCCAATCTTTTTACATACTTTTGTAAGGTCAAATAGACACTGCCCAATCTTTTTACATACTTTTGTAAGGTCAATTAGACATTGCCCAATCTTTTTACATACTTTTGTAAGGTCAAGTAGACACTGCCCAATCTTTTTACATACTTTTGTAAGGTCAAGTAGACACTGCCCAATCTTTTTACATACTTTTGTAAGGTCAAGTAGACATTGCCCAATCTTTTTACATACTTTTGTAAGGTCAAGTAGACACTGCCCAATCTTTTTACATACTTTTGTAAGGTCAAGTAGACACTGCCCAATCTTTTTACATACTTTTGTAAGGTCAAGTAGGCACTGCCCAATCTTTTTACATACTTTTGTAAGGTCAAGTAGACATTGCCCAATCTTTTTACATACTTTTGTAAGGTCAAGTAGACACTGCCCAATCTTTTTACATACTTTTGTAAGGTCAAGTAGACACTGCCCAATCTTTTTACATACTTTAGTAAGGTCAAGTAGACACTGCCCAATCTTTTTACATACTTTTGTAAGGTCAAGTAGACATTGCCCAATCTTTTTACATACTTTAGTAAGGTCAAGTAGACACTGCCCAATCTTTTTACATACTTTTGTAAGGTCAAGTAGACATTGCCCAATCTTTTTACATACTTTAGTAAGGTCAAGTAGACACTGCCCAATCTTTTTACAGACCTAAGTAAGGTAATGTAGAGATTGTCGAGATCTCTTATAATTAACGGCAAAATTTGCCAATCTCTTTTTTAACCGCTTAAATAAAAGATGAACAGACGTCATGGTTATAAATTATGTTCTTTCTAGAACAATCCAACATGTCCGGCCGGGCTAATCAAAATAATCACAGCAACCAACTCAACCCTACGTCTAGTGCATTTCAAGGTCACCAACCCGGATATGGTGTAAGTAATAATAATAAGGAACAGTAGCGTAGATAGGGTTTTGTTCAGTTTTTTTCCCAAATGTATGTGCAATCAAACCTGTCCACATTATTCTTATGTGTATTAAACCATGTACAATCAAGTATGTCCACTTTACTCAACTAGGGAACTGGCACACAGGCCGACCTTGCCAACCACAGCAACCAACTCAACCCTAATTCTTCTGCATATCAAGGTCGCCAACCTGGATATGGGGTAAGTAATAATAATACGATTCAATGGCGTAGGCATGATTTTGTTAATTTCTTTCCCAAATTTATTTACAACTATCCGTTCCGGCCAAGCTCCGCACTGGCGTCTGTGAAAAACTATTCTGTAAAAGATAATGTTTATTAAGCAGCATATACCCAACATAGACGTTTGACAAATAAAGACACCAAACCCTACGAAAACTTTAAACTTATCGTATAGCGTCAACCAACCAAAATCAAGACACAAAAACAAACGCAAAATAAAACACTAACTTAAACATAAAAACAAATGCAAAAGCAAATGCAAACACAAACGCAAACACCAAAGGAAACACAAACACTATTGTAAACACAAACAAAATGTAAAAACTAACGCAATTACAAAAGCAAACACAAACAAAAAAGCAAATACAAATGCAAACATAAACATAAACACAACAAAAACACAAATGTAAACACAAACTCAAACAAAAACGCAAAACACCAACACATATACAAACGCAAATACAAACGCAAACCTAAACGCAAACAATAATGCAGAACATAAACACAAATTTAAATGCGAACATAAACGCCTAGTGCTCACAGTATAGTTATTGGCGCCAACTCGCAACCTGCCCGGGGCGCGGGCGGAATTACCTAATGCAACTTAGAAAACGACTATAATACCCCATTTTATCCATAGTCTAAACCGAACGTAGGCACCATAGCGCTCACGTGAAGGCCCGGGGTGCCAAACAGCACCCTGTCGGGGCGCCGGAGGATGCCCGGTTTCGATTTAGTTAAGGACTATAGTAAACCTTCTTATCCATAGTATATCGCACTGTGTAAAATGAACATAGACGCCATAGCGCTCATGGGAAGGCCCGGGTCGCCAAATAGCACCCTCGGGGTACCATAAGACGCCCTAGATTTGATTTAGTGTACGACTATAGTAACCCTTTTTATTCACAACATATCGCACCATAGCGCTCACAGGATAGCCCAGGGCGCCAAATAGCACCCTGCCTGGGCGCCGGCGGACGCCTGATTCTATTTAGCTAACGACTGTAATACCCCAAGCTTGTCCGCAAATGCAAAGATAGAAGTAAATATAGAGGACATTTAGGAGCGGCTTCTAAACTGTTATTGATTAAAAATAATAATTAGTAAACAGTACGTTAAGTGTATAAATTAAATAAAAGGCAGTATTTAAAATATCCGTATTTCACCCATCACATTGCATTTATCAATCCATGCTAATTATATAATTTTTTTCCAATTTATTTACAATCAAACATGTTAAACCATGTACAATCAAGTACGTCCACTTTACTCAACTAGGGAACCGGCACACAGGCCGACCTTGCCAACCACAGCAACCAACTCAACCCTAACAACCCAAGATTCCAGTAAGGGAAAAAATGAGGTCAGCTTTTACATATCTCATATTGAACAATTGTATTTAGCTTACATGTAACTTAATTTTCTGACATCTAATGGGTAAACTAATCTATAAAAATAAAAATATGTGCAGTGAAATAGCAGATAAGTAGTTGTAAAGAAAGGGATCGGGTCGGTAAATCAATGGTTGCTGAAAAGTCCCGAGTTCGAGCCCCTGGGTAGATTACGCACGAAAGCAGCGGACAGCAACTCATATAGAAGATTTAAAAAATCCCAAAATTAAGCAACTATGGCCTTTAGTTTTGTTCTTGAGTGGACACAAGCTATGGAAGGAAATTCAGAAAGCAAAGCAGGCTGAAATCGAAGTCAATGGCAAATATGATGCATAACGTAATACTTGTGTTGGATTATATACCTTCAAACATTACAATTAAAAATGAAGTAGATGTAAAAATTCATTTATTAATTTTATTCTCAGGTTGTCTTTATCATAGATGTGGGCACATGACAACAATCCCAGCATTGTTTTAAACATTTTTTTTTCATTTTTAAATATGATACAATTTGGATGCAAAAAGATGAAGAATAAAGTTTACTACATCAAAAGATCATCTTTAAGACATAGCAACTACCATCTAAACATATTCATTCTACAAAGCTCTTCATTTCTCTTTTTTTATTTGATAAAAAATCCACCCTGTCTTGTTAGTCAATAAAGTGTGTTTAATATTAAATTTTAGCTCTTAATTTTCATGCATGTTTTCGTTGTGTTAATGTAAGGGGAGTACCGAGTATAGGCGTGGCTACCCGTTCCGGCGCCGGGGGCGAACTTTCAATTTGGCGCTCCGCTACCCAAATATAGGCATATATATATATATATATATATATATATATATATATATATATATATATATATATATATATATATATATATATATATATATATATATATATATATATATATATATATATATATATGCCTGCTAAGGGCTGAGATTTATTGAGGTTAAAGGTATAATACTATGTTTAGTTAAGTTTGTACAGAGCTTTTCTGTATCTTATAGATCAACACGTATTTGTTTTTTTACCATTCTTGCCGAATTTTCTGTAATAGTTAAAGTGCGTTGGTTAATCTGATGGTTAATTATGCGTCCAATTAAGTAAAATTTTACTTAATTGGACGCATAATTAATTTTTTATGAGTTAATTTAAATTGAGTCCAAATTAGTAGGCAGTGTTATCCAACTATTCTGCACTATTATACGCGCGTTTTAATGTTCACTAGGCGCGCAATAGTTTTTAGCCATGCAACTCTATTTTTAAACCAAAAAAATTTAAAGTACTGAAAAAAAATGCAAAATAGCAAATTAAAGACGAACATAAAGTGCAGTTTACTTCACAAAGATCAATATAGAAAAGCTTGTCTTGTAATTCTGTTTTGAATCGTCTGCAATTTCTATTTTAAAGACTAGAGAAAAGGGAAACGATTTGGAAAAAGTCTCAAAGTTTATTTACATTTCAAACGTGATAACATGGTTTATCCAGACATCTGCGAACAAGATAACAGAAAATATTTTGATACTTGGCCCGTCATACACTATCGAATAAATGCAGATAATGCAAATTAAAATAGTTTAGTATAATTAGAACATTCAAACCAATGACAATCCTATAAAAAAAACAGCTGGCACGTTATATCTTATACTAGCTGCATACCCCTGCTCTGCCACGGGGAATGTACCAACTATGGACAGAACAAAACTAAACATAGTGCTTTCGTAATCATAGTCAAGCATTAAACACTACGTAAGGTAGAACCCTAAATAAACACACAATGAACAACAACAAAGCTAGACTAAAAATAAAACCTATGCTGTATGTGTACATTTACATTGCAGCAATATATTTCCCTATACAAAATACAGTTTAGTTCAAGATAAATATAATAAATACAAAATTTTATTCAATTTTGATTTACAAATATTTCATTAACATCTTATGAAACATAGACCTATATACCAGAAAACAACAAATTTTTGGCGCACAGCTAAGTATAATTTATATAATTAGAAGTTTACAGTAAACACACGCAGTTAATTTAGAGCAACCCCCCCCCCCCCTCTAGTGTTTTACACCCAAGCACTAAGAAGATTTATGAAAACATAAATTGGGTTTCATAAGTAATATTTTACGTGATTTTGGTTAAAAATACAATGAACATCTGTAGTCTATGTTTTACCCCCAAAAAAAACTGCGCTTTTGTTTACTAAGCAGTAACATATTTTGTTTTCATCTTAAAATTAATTTTTATTCAGTTTTATGAAATGAAGAGAAATCAAACGTGTATGGCACTTAGGTTATTTAAAAAACATTTTTACATAATACTTTTATGTCTTGAAAATAATGAACATTAATAATTAAGCATTTATAAATTGTAAGCTATTGCACAATATATTATCAATAAAAAGACTTCAATAATATAAAAGATGAGTAATAATTTATGTAAAACAGCATAAAGAGTATTAGCTTTATATACATTTTTATGGCCCCATTTAAGAAGCGTTGATTTAAATTTTATAATTCAATTTTTGAGGCAAAACTACCAATATCGAGCTGTGGTAAACAATAACAAATTGTTCTGGTCACAAAGTTATTCATCAAACACTCCTGGAGAAGCTAGCTCTGTTGGTGTCCCCATCCTAGCTACGCCAATACTAGACCTACGATACTGCTGTAGAGTTTTCAACACTTTTTTTTTGTTGTCAATATAAAAATGTGTTTGATAAAAACACGAACAGTAAATGCTGATTGGCAAACAACAAAGGTATACACATTGTTCATGTCTTTTGTTGGTTTAAACGTCGATCTCGTCCTGTTCGCCTAGATCCGCCTTGAGTATAACGTTGTGTTGTGTCTCTGTTTCTAGAGACAGATGAGCGCCTGTGATGTTGTCATGGACGTTGTCAGAACCTAAATCTAGGTACATAGAAATATCATCCACTGAGTATTCCACCGTTTCGTCGCCACCACTCGCAGAACTGGCGGAGGGTAACAAAATTTTTCTGGTAACCTTGGATAAATCTCGCGGCTCTTGTGAAGAAACATCGGAGGTATCGCTGGAACTATCGGAGTAACTGATCTTTTTTATTAACTTCGGTGCCTGTACTCCATCAGCTCCCACGCTTACATCTTCTTCAGACGTGTCGCTATCGTCTGAATGTTCGACGTCCGCCTCACTGAACTGCCCGGATGTTATCTGCTCGGCTGCTGGTGTTTCCGGCAGCGAGGGAAGGTTCCAGAATTCCGCGGTTGGTGTTTCAGGAGGCGGTGACATAAACACATTGTCGCTTTCTTTGGATGAAAATTGGTGCAAGTTCAGCAAGTTGGGTCGATCGTTTGCAGACTTAGTCGAGGAGTGGCTTGATGTGCTATCTGTGTCTGAAGATTGCTGGTCGCCCAATTCTTCAAACTCTTCATCTATAGATGTGGTCTTTATTTCGACATTTTTATCTGGTTCTTTTTCAACAGTGTTTATTTTTAACGTGCTTGGTTCTAATTCTTCAACATTAATTGCATCATAGGTTTTGTCGTGTATACTAGTGACACTCTCTACAACATCTGCACCGTGTTTCTGAATGTCTATTTGCACAACATCAGATAACTCGCTACGCTGATTATCGCTGTTTTCAGGAGTTATTTCATTTGATGTGGACAGCGTCAGATTATCCATGTTTTCTGTGGGGTAGCTGTCAGCTTCTATGACGGACTCGGTGTTGACATTGTCTTGTGGAAGTTGGTCTCCAGCATTGTCAGGTTTTGAGTCCACAGCATGGACCACCGTGTCAATGCTACTCTTTGACTCAGCAGAACTCAACGAGGACGATCTAGACACCGGTTGATTTTCGTCTTCACTCGATGTATCTAGTTCTTTATCATCAACAATTTCCGAAGCCTCTTCTTTGTCATCTTTACTTTCACTTATCACGGAGTTGTGCGGTTCTCCGGAGTTGTGTGGTTCTTCTTGTTTCACTAAACTCTCAACAACCTCCAAATTTTGCGGCTCCTCACTGCTGCCCAAGCTCTCGTCCAGGTCGGTGACCAGGTGGGGGTTGCTGTTGACCGAACTCATAGAAAGACACCTGTCTCGCTCCTCCAACGGCAGGCCGTCCAACAAGCTCTCGTCCACCAGAAACTCACCCGAGCCCGTCCCTTCTACAATAACAGCTCTGTTGGCCACGGCTTTCAGGTGCTCCACCCACACCGTGCCGTCACGGAGGCTGGTCTTCCGGGCTGATTTCCACGGGTCGAAGCTGAAGCTCCGTGCACGGGACTCGACGGGGGCTCGCTCGAGGCTCATGGATCTCGCGCGGGACCTGACGATCTCGCTCACCTCCTCGTATGTCGGCTGCTCAAATATTGTCTTGGCTATTTTAACGTACTCACTTTCCCCGCCGGATTCGTCTTTGTTTTCAGACTCGTCAGGTGTTGATTTGCCGTCGTTGTCGTTCGTGGAAATGTTGGATTTCGATTCTTCGTCTTCTGCCTTGTCTTCATCTGATGAATCGGATATTGTTACAGTAGCGTTTTCACGCTGAAGCTTTCTCCTTGTTCTTGGTATTGGCGTCGGTTGCTGCTGGCTTAAAAGTTTATCAATCTCCTCGTCCAATGAGGCATTACTTCCGGATTTCGATACTTTGTCTGATTGGTCAGTTGAATTAACCGAGTCTGTTGATTGGTCGGTTGAGTCAAAACCCCTCGAGTCGTTTCTTCCAACATCCTCTGTGCTGTTTTTAAACAACCACGGTTTTTCTTTACGAAATTTCCTCTCTTCTTCTTCTTCCTCGTTGACCGCGTCGTTTTCGTCCCGGACAAACGCCGGGTTGTCGTAGTCGATGTGTCTGTTGACGGGGTTCAGCTCATCAGGACCCAGGCTCCGCGTGGCGAAATAATCGTCCGCGTCATCGCGCACGAGGCTGATTGGTCGTTTCTGTGTCTGATACTCCGGGTTACTGAACTTGGCGAAGTCGCGCCCTATGATCATGCGCACTGGGTACTTCCGCCTGTACAGGATGTACCCGCCCACTCCACCTATGAGGAGGACAAGAAGAGGGATGACCACACCGACTGCAATTTTCCAACCGTCGTTCGAGTCGTCTGCTCCGCCGTTTGAACCGGACGAGACAAATAGTGCGGGGGACGGGGAGGTGGTGACGTCACTTGATTGTGTCAACGCTGTGCTCTGTACTGGGCTATCTGTGACGTCACTATACAATGTGCCGTCCGTGACGTCACTTGGAAAGTTATCCGTGACGACATCCGGCAACGTTTCACCCACCGCCGGGCCGGAGACGTCTGTACCATCCCCCACACTTGACCCCTGGTCAGTTGACCTATCGCCGTCTGTTGGTGAGGTCACCGTGTCCTCTTGTAATGTCGTCTGCTGATCCTGGAGATTGGAAAAAAAAGTATGGATAATTCAATTCATTGTCTCCCAAACAAGTACAAGGTTTTGACTGGTGTAGCTATAACTATAACACTATGATAAGGGATCATAAACATATAACACTATGATAAGGGATCATAAACATATAACACACAAAGTGGCAGGGGTGGCTGTTTGTGGCACAGAGCTTTGTTATATGAATCTGATTTTTAATATAAATTCTGATTTTGAAGCATGTTTCAATTATAAATATATAAGCTTTTACCATTTTTTTTGTTTCTAATGAAAATGTAGTGAGCAATTATCACTGAAATTATACAATTCCTATAACGTATTTAAAAAGATCAGATAGTTTTTGTAGCGCCATAGTATGTTGTAGTTGATGCTATGGTGGGGGGGGGGGGGTCCTATATACATGCCACAGTGCGGGGGTCCATAAAAATCTTATATAAGGTTGGGGTGGGAGTTATGTGCCCTATTTTCTTTTAATAAGATGCTCAAAGTCCCAAAAGAACTTCGAGCAATTGCTAAAAAAATCAAAAAAAAAAAAAAAAAAAACTCGAATTTTTTTCCCGGAAAGAAAAACCTTTCATGTGAAAAAATAAACACCAAAGGTTTTTTTTCTTTTCATTTCAATGGTTGAAGTGAGTTAAAAAAATTTGAACCACTTATCCCAGTTATAGGTATAAAAGGGTAGATCACATTTAAAATTGTAATTATATCGACTATTTGTAGATCAGATCATGTTAAAATTTCTTTTAATTATCGTGGGTGTTTAAATATCAATTTACTTTTAAAATCTTTTATCAAGTTTAAAAAAGTGAACTATCCCGGCTGATTAAATACATCTTTATTGTATTTGAAAGGTAAGATCAAGTTTAAAAAACGTGAACTGTGTCCAAAGATTACCCGATACAGACACTACATTGATAACATCGGACTGAGCCGTACCCGATCGCCCACACACCGCCCATAATCACTCAAGTATTTTTTTATCATAATAAACACATCTCTAACGAACGTCTAACACACGTCTCTAACACAGGTAGAGGTATGCTGGGATGGCACGGTGATTTTCATGTAATCGATAAGTACACACAGTCAGCACACACCATAGACGACACATCAATACGTCAACCTGAATTCTTGATGTAAAACTTGTTAGATGTAATATCGTAATTACAGGTATTAGCGTGGTGTAATAGTAAGAAAACATGATAATTTATTTAAAAATTTAAATGTAGCTAGATGTAGTTATTACCAAGGAGGAGTAATGAATGTATAAGAGAAAGAAAAATCCGAGGGGGGAGTGGGGTTTGAGGGAGAAAGTTTGTGAATGGTTAATAAAATATGTTCGTTGTTTGTGATCGGTTGATAAAATAAGTTCGTAGTTTGTGATCGGTTGATAAAATAAGTTCGTAGTTTGTGATCGGTTGATAAAATAAGTTCGTAGTTTGTGATCGGTTGATAAAATAAGCACAGGTGAAAATAATTGGGTTATAGTTAACGCAAAAGGTTTTCCCAGCATTTATTATCTTAATAAACCTATACTACCCGGATGACTTAAGTTTTCGTGTCACCCCATACGACTTTAAGATGTCCTGAATTTAGTGCCACCTCATCCCAATAATGCCACCAAACATGTGATTGAATTGGACATAAATAATGTTGTATGATAGAAGTGGTTTAGGTTTCCTGGACAAAACACATGTTCGCATTACAGCGGGCAATGTTTTGTTTAATTGTCACCTCCATGGTTGGTGTCACATCCATGGTTGGTGTCACCTCCATGGTTGGTGTCAACTGCATGGTTGGTGTCACCCTAAACAGTATCCCTACCCCCATGTTTTAATGACTTTACCTGAAGTTCAATAGTCGTATCTATCGGCGTCTCAGCGGAAACGACGTCATCATCCGTATCTACATCGTTGACATCACGTGCCCGTCTGCCGTGTGACGTCGTGTACTCGATGTAAAACCCCCGATGTCCCTCGAGGTCCCGGCCCCCCCGGTACACCACACTGACCCGCCTCGTATCGCTGGTCACCGTGACCTGCTCCACCCCTCCCCGGGCAGCGAACAGCCTGCTGGGTCTGGGCCTGCCGGTGTCGAACACGGCGAGGTTTGTGTTGCTGTAGTCGGGTAGATCGAGGTACCGGATGTGGAGGGTGATGCGTGAGTCTCCCCGGGCTTGGATCTCCCAGGCGCACGTCACGTGACCGCTTGTTGCTGTTTGGTGTTGGTGGGACGGATGAACGAGAGCACCACTCTGTTGTGTTAAGATATATTTCCTTGAGCAGTCAGGGATAGTACATGTATGATTCGTACTGGACCAGGTTGGTTGAGCTTTATAATCTGGTTGGCAATGAAGAGTTATTTCCCCTGATTGAGTATATGGTTTCTCACAGATGTATTGCGCTGATGAATAGATAATTGTTTCGTTGTTTTTAACTAAACCGGGTTTCTGGGTACGAGTTTTATACAAAGTACCTGCTTCAGTTATTTTCTGGGTCATGTGGTTGAGTTTAGCGTGAGGGATTCTGGGTGGGTGCAGGCAGATCGACTCACACACGGAACCGTCTGAGACCCACTGTAGATGACCGTTGGAGACGGAACACCTTGCTTTACCTGGACCTCTGGTGATGACGTAACCGTCTGGACACGCCAGCTCGACTGTAGCGCCCAACGTAGCGCTGGTCCCAGTGTATACAGCGTGGTGTGGTACCGTCACTGGTGAATGTGGTACAGCCACATTAACCTGTGGTATTTCTACATTTGAACTGACACATGAAGGAGAGGAATTCTTGCTGTTGACGACATAATCAAAACGTATCCCGCTTTGATTGGTTAGTGTAGATGTGACGTCACGACGAACAACCAACCACAGCTCCGCGCTATGAAACGTTCGAATGATTTCGTCTTGTTCTTTCCGCCACAAAACCAACGGCTGCTTCACATTTTCTGTTTTTCTGGATGAAGTTAAAAATTGATCGGCATTGTCGTAAATTGCAACAGAAAGTAGTCCCAGCCTGCCTGACGTCAATGTATCAATCCGCCTTAAAAGTATACTTATAGACACGGCGTGTTCCGCGCTAACGTGCCATACACAATAGTTGTGTTTGAATGTTTCTGCCGTCACTTGAAAAGTCCCAACTGAGTCGTGTAAAGTACTGAAACACGCAGTTCTCTCACACAGAACCAGCGGTACCACACACACACACAGCCACACGCCAAGATAGAGATGTGGTGGTGGCATCTTGGCTCTCCCTACAAACAACCCAGTCGTGTGGCGTACCCACAAGTGGTGGACATAGACAAATCACTTGTGGTCAATTAAGTCAAGCGTTCATTACACAATTACACATTCGCTGACATAAATCACATGATCGAGTCTGAGTCGCAGAACTATCAAGTAAACCAAATTTCGTGTCAACTATCCACATTGAAGTTTATCCGTTTATCACCTCAACGTTCACACGCAGATCCAGATGGTAAATATATCTGAAAAGAAGAAACACATTTGTGTGAACACATTGATAAAAAAAATAATTGGGCTTTGGAACTAATGTATCGACGACACATAACAGAGATTAGATACTGCTTAGCTCTAATGACACAAATCTATGAGAAAGCATATTGTATATTGATTACGTAGATAGATCAAGCATCGGATCGGTCCTGACATTTAGTAAATTAATTAACCTCCATTTAATGGCAGTATTAGTTAAATACAAGAATACAGATACAACTAAAAGACTGTAAATAATATATTTAGTATTTTAATTAGCTAATAATCAGTACAGTTTCAATAGATAACATATTATCTTTAAAGTAACGTAGATTAGCTTGGGTAAATAGTGAAATAGTTGGAATAGTGGTAGGTGATGATTTGTCAAAACAGATTTTTAAGAAAAAAAATCAATTAAAAATATTACAACAGACTTTTGTTGGCTAATTGCTAAAGATTTAAAACAATTTAGTACATTTATCTCTAAAATATGAATGGGCGTTTACATGCTATTTGTCAATCATCAAATCGTAGTAGGTAAAAAAATAAATAAAACGTAACTTTCCACACGCACACAAACAACATCAATGTTTACACAACTTTATTCAGACACATTCAAACAACATCAATCTTTACGCAATTTTATACAGACATATTCAAACAAAATCAATTTGTACACAACTTTATACAGATACTAAAAAACAACACACATCTTTACACAACTTTACAAAAACACACACAAACGCTAAACACTAAACCATTTGTGTAGACAAGAAATTTGTACTGTGGCCGTCTACGTATTTTGTTGCCGATTGTTACCCCCTCCCCACACTATTGTTACATGTCGTCACAAAAAGCTACCCCCTCCCCCTTCTTAAATGATGTCAGGAAATGTCACCACCTTCAAGACAATCGAGTACAATGTTTTTCATAATTTTAAAAAAAGCTGCATTTATCATCATCATCTTTTCCTGTTCGTGCCCAAAACACATCGAGTAGATGAAGTAAAGCTCATCAGTTTCAATGACTTCGACATACGAGACAGGTACCCATAAGATGAAATCTGGGGATTCCCACAGATTCGATCCTGGGACCCCGAACCCGAGACTTTTGGGTTAACCTCGTTTGCTTTTTCCTCGACCACCACACTCCACATAGCACATCGTAACTAGGCTAAGCCCCCCCCCCCCCCTCCCCGCCACTCCAGCTGTATGGAGAGCTTAACCCCAAATCAACGTTGCATCTTTTCTACTAGTGCAATTTTATGATTTCTAAGTTAGGTAAAAAAAAAAAAGAAATTTAACATGGTACTTCATAAATCGTTCAAACTGTGATTCGTCATCGTTCGGCTTTATTGTATACTTAATGAGCTTTTAATTACCATCCCCCTTCAACTGATGTCTTATTTGAATGTATGTGTAGGGTTACGTTGTAATCAAGTGTAAAAATAGATTTGGTGTGAAAGGTCACGAGAGGTTACCTGACGGGCTAAGTAAGAGACTAATTCTATTTAATGATGAGATAACCAGTATGTTTTAGATGTTTCTAATTTGCTTATCCTGTTAAAAATCTGTCAAATTTATCATGTGCAAGTCTTAACCGAATCAGTTCAATGAACTGTCATATGAATAGCTCATGTATTACAGTCTGAATTTTAGAACGTTTAAGGTTCTAAATTTGTTAACAACAACGTCAGTTGAGTTTTAAATCTACCGCCAAACTGAATGAGCTAGGGTAGTAAACACATGTGTGAGTATTCTTCACCTCTCCGCATCGACGTGTGACTACAAAGTATAAATTGGCGTGAGGCAGGTGAAGTAGATTAGTTCAAGAGGAAAAAAATTACTTCAAGGGTTGTGTGGCAGACATTTTGACAAGCCGTCAAATTGATGTAGTGATGTGATGACTGCTGGGTGACCTACTGACCTATGACTTAGACGTCCTACTGCCCCATGGCAGACATGATGTCCTACTGACCCATGACTTAGACATTATGTCCTACTGACCCATGACTTAGACGTCCTACTGACCCATGACTTAGACGTCCTACTGACCCATGACTTAGACGTCGTACTGCCCCATGGCAGACATGATGTCCTTCTGACCCATGACTTAGACATGATGTCCTACTGACCCATGACTTAGACGTCCTACTGACCCATGACTTGGATGTCCTACTGCCCCATGACTTAGACATGATGTCCTACTGCCCCATGACTTAGACATTATGTCCTACTGACCAATGACTTAGACATTATGTCCTACTGACCCATGACTTAGACATGATGTCCTACTGCCCCATGACTTAGACATGATGTCCTACTGACCAATGACTTAGACATGATGTCCTACTGCCCCATGACTTAGACATGATGTCCTACTGACCAATGACTTTGATGTCCTACTGACCAATGACTTTGATTTCCTACTGACCAATGACTTAGACATTATGTCCTACTGACCCATGACTTAGACATTATGTCCTACTGACCCATGACTTAGACGTCCTACTGACCCATGACTTGGATGTCCTACTGACCCATGACTTAGACATGATGTCCTACTGCTCCATGACTTAGACATTATGTCCTACTGACCAATGACTTAGACATGATGTCCTACTGACCAATGACTTAGACATGATGTCCTACTGCCCCATGACTTAGACATTATGTCCTACTGACCAATGACTTTGATGTCCTACTGACCAATGACTTTGATGTCCTACTGACCAATGACTTTGATGTCCTACTGTCCCTTGACTTAGATGTCCTACTGTTCCTTGACTTAGATGTCCTACTGCCCCTTAACTTAGATATCCTACTGTCCCTTGACTTAGATGTCCTACTGACCCATGACTTAGACATGATGTCCTATTGATCTATTATAATACCCTTTATTTATATGAAGAAATTTCGAAATAAGTAATAACTACGACGAAAAACAACAACATAAAATATAATTAAACTACATTACATAAAGTAAACCTACATAATTATCAAACAGTTTGCGGGCAATTATTTTATGTTAGGCTAAGGTAGGGGGCTTAGCAGGCTTATTTCCGTAAGCTATTATAATCACTTGAAATAATATGTTTGAAAGATTACACAATGAATGGCTGCTTTGTTTTAGTTTCAGTCGCTGCATACCACCCTTTCACCCCCAGATCGCATTCTAATACTTCAATAAGACAGCAGAGTATTGCCAACACAAATGCACTGAAACTGTATTGATTACAAGTTTGATGAGAGTCAATAAGAAAAGAATGAACCGTTTAAAGATAGTTTAAAAATAAAATTCTGTCTTACCGAAAAGTTTATCCTCGACGCGTAAAAGTGGGCGTCTCCTTAGGTGGGCGTCGCCAGACAATCATGTAGGCAGCCATGTTGGATAAGCGCGCAGTATGAAGTTGCTGAAGTGACTCCATTATTTAATCTGGCCCACTTTCATCTGTACGAGTGGTCTACCTTGGTTGTATTACAAGGGCATGACTGCTACCACTAAATACATGTTTATGAATATCTCATTCTCTCCCCTTGATTAGTTGATAGAGCTAAATAAAAGCTACTAATTGACCGTCTGAAATAACTCTGCGCAAATAGGCTTAGGGGTGGGGGTGAGGGGGGTAGAAGAGAGAAGGATATGCGCCACCCTGTGAAAGGAAATGAATAGAGATATCTTTTGTATTTCTTAAAAATAACCAATGCTGACAAAATTGTTAGTCTTGGAGAAGAGTTGAATAGTTTGTAAGATTGGAACATTGCTCCGTCACTTTAGTGGTGATTGAGGTGTTGGATGGGTGGGGTGGAGGTGGGGGGGGGAGTAGATTCTTGTGACAATATTTGATATAAAGAGTGAATTAAAACGAGTCAAACGAAGCGAAAAGATAAAAAACAAATGGTAGCTGCAGTGAGGTTAATGTAATTAGTAATAAAACAGATAGTATTAGTTACCTCACAAGTTAAAGACAGTTACAAGTACTATGGACGTTTCTACCCAAGGTCTTCGTCAGCACACAACAGTGTGATTACAGATTAGACAAATAAAGACAAACAATAACACATTTTTTGACTTAGCTCGACAGTGAAAACACGTCTTGTCTGCTAACCACGATATCCAAAAGAAAAGACGCGTGAGAAGGACGCGTGGACACCGTGTCTAAT